GACAGAGATTTGTCCTGACTGTGGGCAAGGCAGGAAAACTCTAGCTACAGTGTGCTACCATGTGGGCTGACAAAAACACTATAGGGAATAGGGAGGTGGAAAGAGGTAGATTTAGGAAGAGCTGGAAGTTGTATACACTGATAATTGTTTTCTTGGTGTTACATTTCTGCCTAGCTTTGCTGTGAAGTTTCTTAAATTATGTCTGAGAAGCTCATGTTTAGTCAGTGAGAAAAGTCATGATTTGAATAATGTGACCACATATCTATGACCTGTATGTGTCTTGGTCTTTGAAAGAGGTAGAATGAATGTCATCTCGTTGAGGTTGATGAGTGTCACATCTCACCTGTGTTAGGTACACTGGTGAAGGGCTTGCCTCACCATGTTTCAGCTTCTTTATGTGGTAGTTTGTACCATCATTATGTTGCAGTGCTTTTTTTTTTTTTTAAAGATTTATTTATTTATTATGTATACAGAAGAGGGCGCCAGATCTCATTACAGATGGTTGTGAGGCACCATGTGGTTGCTGGGAATTGAACTCAGGACCTCTGGAAGAGCAGTTGGTGCTCTTAACCTCTGAGCCATTCTCTCCAGCCCCCATGTTGCAGTGCTTTATAAGATGCTGATGGAGTCCTTTAAAATATATAAAGTAAGCTGGGTGTCATAGTGCAAACCTTTAATCCCAGAACTCAGGAGGCAGAGGCATCTCTGTGAGTTTGAGGCCAGCCTGGTCTACACAGTGAGTCCCAGGACAGTCTGGGCTATGTAAAGAGATCCTGTCTCAAAAAGCAAACAACATAGTATGTAGCAGGCTTTCTTTCTTTCTTTTTTTTTTCCCCCAGAGGATATAATGTTTTATTTAGCTTTAAACAAAAAACAAAACAAAACAAAAGAACCCAGCCAGTTGCTGGTGGTGGCACACTTTTTTTTTTTTAACATAAAAACAGGTTATAATTCAAAAGTCCAGGTTTATTTTAAACAGTAAAGTATTTTCTCTGTAGAAAATACTAAAAATGATAACATTTCCCAATGAACCCTTTTAAGCCAAATATTAGCTGAATTATATGTATAAATATTGATTAGATTCTGGGATACAGAAGAAACCTATCTTCATCTGTTCAGAGAACTATGTCTAAGTTGTGTAAGTGAGATTCCTATTCATCTTCCCTTGACTGTTTGATTTACGGCAGACATTTTTCTATAGGCTAACCCATAATCTAAAAAGATTTTAGCCTCCCCTCCTGGAAGTATACAGCCTTTCATCAGCTTGATAAGGTACAAATTCTTATCCTAATAGTGAAATGTTTCACTAAAGCATGCCCAGTGATTGGGCAAAACCAAAACTTAATTATAAGACACAGACAACCTAGGGTCCTCCCTGCTAGGTACTCCCTGGATCTGTGGGTTGCAGTCTGATTGTCCTTTGCTTTTTATCTAGTATCCACTTTTGAGTGAGTACATACCATGTTTGTCCTTCTGAGTCTGGGTTACCTCACTCAGGTTGATATTTTCTAGTTCCATCCATTTGCCTGCAAATTTCATGATGTCATTGTTTTTCTCTGCTGAGTAGTACTCCATTGTGCATATGTACCACATTTTCTTAATCCATTCTTCAGTTGACAGGCATCTAGGTTGTTTCCATGTTCTGTCTATTATGAATAATGCTGCTAAGAACATAGTTGAGCATGTGTTTGTGGTATGATTGAGCATTCCTTGGGTATATGCCCAAGAGTGGGATGGCTGGGTCTTAAGGTAGATGGATTCCCAATTTTCTGAGATACCTTCACACTGGTTTCCACAGTGGTTGTACAAGTTTGTACTCCCACCAACGGTGGAGGAGTGTTCTCCTTGCTCCACATCCTCTCCAACATAGACTGTCATTAGTGTTTTTGATCTTAGCCATTCATAGCAGGCTTTCTTTTGGGCCACCAATCAGCTCCCAAATGATGACATATGGAGACTTCTTATTAGTTATGAATGCTCGACCTTAGCTCCAGTTTTAATCTGTTTCTTTCCCTCCCCCTCCCTTCCTCCCCCCTCCCTACCCCCTCCCTCTCTCCCTCTCTCCCTCCCTCTCTCTCTTTGTGTATATCTTACCGTCTATATCTGGCTGGTGTCTGGCCCCAGGCGTGTCCCTCCGGTTCTCCCTCATTCTCTCCCCCCGCCTTCCCTTTTGTGTAGATTTCTCCTCCCACCTGCTCTCTTCTGCCAGCCCTGCCTATCACTCTCCTGTGTAGCCTGTTCAGATTTTTGTTTTGTTTTTTTTCGAGACAGGGTTTCTCTGTGTAGTTTTGGTTCCTGTTCTGGATCTCTGTAGCCCAGGCTGGCCTCGAACTCACAGAGATCCACCTGTCTCTGCTTCCCGAGTGCTGGGATTAAAGGTGTGCACCACCACTGCCTGGCGCCTGTTCAGCTTTTTATTAAACCAATCAGGTGCCTTAGGCAGGCAAAGTGAAACAAATGAAGCACATCTTTACATAATTAAGCAAATGCAGCACAAACACATGTAACACACCCTACACAGTTAAAGTAATATTCTACAGCATAAACAAGTGTAACACATGTAGCAGATTAATTTTCAGCTACAAATAGCTGCATTTTTGACTGCTTTCATTCATTTTTTTGTGCTATAGGTGAGTGTATCCCGGCAGGATATTGAAGATGCTGAAGAGGCTGCAGCTCAGTCCTGTGCTGGGACAGACACCACAGAAGGACTGTTCAGTATGGTCAGCACCGCTTCTGTTTTGATGTTGATGGTTAAACCTCTTTATTTTTATCTTGTATTTTGATTCTTGTCTTTGTGATTAGCACTCCTATTAACAGAAACATACATTGGAAGTTCATCACTTCAGAGTATGTAAAGAAAGACACAGTACATGGCTTAGATCCTTTAATAGGCTTAAAGCCTTTGGGAGGACAGCTGTGCTGCCAGAGTGCAGCTTTCCTTGTACATATAAGGACTGAAGTTTGACCCTAGAACAGAGAAAATGTTGGGTGTGCTAATGTGTTCTCAGAATCCCAGCTCTAGTGAGGCACAGACAGGAGAATCCTGGCATGGTATTGGGACAGTCTAGGGTAATGGGTGATTACCAGGTTAATGAGAGACCCTGTCTTGGAGGTGGACAGCATTCCTGAGGAAGAATAAACCAAGCAACTTGTGGCCTCCACATGCCTGTGCATATGTGTGTCCCCTCACATACTTGTGGATGTGTGTATATATATATATATATATATATATATATATATAAATATATATAAATGAAGTAGTTTAACAAACTTGAGAATACTCCTTAAATAAGCATGTTGTGGGATTATAGGTGTGATACCTCGCCCAGTGCTGACATGTTATTTACTGTCTGTGAATGGTTTATGTCCAAGGCTTTAAGTTTGGTTTTGGGGAATTTTGTTTCACTTTTACTCCTAAATTTTTTTTCATTATTTCTATAAGTCACACGCATCTGTGAGGAAACAGCAAGCAGAAAGTGTCCCAGTCCCAGTTTAAGTGTTTTGTTAGTTCGATACCTTAAAGTTGTCACCGTCTAATTGGGATATGTGGAGTGGAGCTCACCTGCCCAGAGTTTGAGCTGAATCTTGAGGCCAGGCATCAGAGAACAAGGAAGTTGGGGTGAAGCTAAGTGAGAGCCTGTTTTCTGCGATGGGGTGGGAAGTAGCACACATGTGTGCCTTGAGTATGTGGCCAGAGGACAACTCTCTGGAGTCTGTTCTCTTCTGCCATGTAGATTCTGGAGATCAGCCTCCGGTCACTAGGGTTGGCAGCAAATGTCTTTACTCGCTGAGAATCCTGCTGGCTCTGTGCCTTTTTTGACTTCTTGGCATTGATGCTGAGGTGGTGACAGGAGAAGCTGTGAGGTGACTCGGCCCCAGCAACGCAGCTGCAGAAGTCGCCAGGGTGGGGATGGGAGTGTGCTGCTGGTACAGCCACTTGTGTTTGCATCGTGAGAGTCAGGCTGAGGATACAACTTAGTGCTAGCACACATGCTTAGTACGCATGAGGGTCCAGTCCCAGTACTCTCCCTCTCCCACTCACCCCATCCCTAAACCCTCAAAAAATAAAGAAAAGGAAAAAGGAGAGTCAGACTGATGTTTGTTTAAATTCGAGAAGTGGCTTTGAACTCTATCTCTGACTGAGTCTGGGACAGTGTCTGCATTTACTCTTTTCTTTTAGAAGAAACAGTAGCCTATGCCAGTTTCCCCAAACAGTAAAGACTTTGATAACGTCAGTTTTCACTTCCTCAGGATGAAGATGAGGACACTGAACCTGGAAAGAAAGCTGACCTAGATCGGCCTAGCCAGATGGCTCATCCTATTGCCGAGCGCCTGGACATCCTGCTGTCCTTGCTTCTGTCCTACATTGAGGATGTCTGCCATGTGGATGGTAATAACCAGAGTAACCTAGATAGTTGGTCGATACCTTGCTAATGGGATAAGAAAGGGTCAGATGGAGGAACTTCTGTGGCAGTGTCACATAGTTAGAAAATGAGGGTGGGTTTTATCTCCAGTATTTAACTTTGAAGACCATGGTGTTTTCATTGTTGTGTAATAAAGGGTAATGGATGGAGTTTGGCCAACTTTAGAAGAGATTACTTGTGTTTGAGATGCTTGAGAAATTTAATAATGGTGTGTTGACCATCTCAGGATGTCTGCCTGTATTCCGTAGTTCCTTGAGAGGCTATGGTTAAATGTCTACATTATGCTCAGTGTTGGGACATCAACTTCACTGAGTGAACCAATCCTCAGGAAACAGCCTGGAGACTGCATGACCATGCACTTTGTTCTGGTTTAAGAATGAGTTTATTAGCTGAGCATAGTGGCTCATGCCTTTAATCCCAGCACTCAGGTGGATCTCTGAGTTAGAGACCAGTCTGGTCTATAGAGCAAGCCTCAGGATAGCCAGAAATACACAGAGAAACTCTGTCTTGAAACAAACAAGTGAAATAAAAAAAAAAAAAAAAAAAAAAAAAGAATGAGTTTATTCAGCATTGATTTGGAAGCCTGGCATAGTGGTCCATGTCTGTAAGCCCAGAACCTGGGAGATAGAGGCAGGAAGAACATGAGTTCAAGATCAGCCTTTTCTCCATGGTGAATTGCAGTCCAGCTTGGGCTCCATGAGACCCTGTCTTGAAAAACAAAAAGGAGGCTGGGCGGTGGTGGCGCACACCTTTAATCCCAGCACTCGGGAGGCAGAGGCAGGCGGATCTCTGTGAGTTCGAGGCCAGCCTGGTCTCCAAAGTGAGTTTCAGGAAAGGTGCAAAGCTACACAGAGAAACCCTGTCTCGGAAAAAAACAAAACAAACAAACAAAAAACCCAGGAAAAAAAAACAAAAGGAAAGATCATTTTTGTGGCTTGACAGCAGTGTGTGACATGGGGCTTGCTTCCTCGTCACTGTGAGATTACACTGGATAAAGTCAGGAGCCCTTGAGATCACTCAGGATGGAGTCTGCCTGTTGCGAAGGCCCAGCCTAAGTGACCCTAGGGCCCTTGTCTGGAGGTGTACACACACAGGAAGCAGTCAGTCGTAAATACTGTTGTAGCCATAGCTTAATGGGTAATTCTGGGGTTTTACTTTTGTTTGGGTTTGCTTTTCTGCCTCCCACCCCCTTTTGTGCTGGAACCTCATGAATCTTCAGCCCTGACTCAAATGCTGATTCTTTATGGTATTGTGTTCCTTTAAAATATGTATTTATGAAATGAAAGTTCAAATTTTCTCTGTAGGTAAGATTGATAACAATAAAACAAAGGATTTATACCGTGATCTGATATCCATCTTTGACAAACTCCTGTTGCCCACACATGCCTCCTGCCATGTACAGTTCTTCATGTTTTTCCTTTGCAGCTTTAAATTGGTAAGTAAAATGCCATTGCCATGCTGATTGATTGAATGAGTGAATGATTGGTACTGATTGATTTATAGGATCTTACCTAACCCTGGCTAGCTTGGAGCTGAGAGATCTGAGTGCCTTTACCTCCTGAGTACTGGGATTAGAGACATGTGCCACCAAGCCCAGTTAAAAATTTACTACTTTTTAAAATTATGAGTACCTGTTCATGTCTACGTATAGCTAGAGTTTTCCTGCCTCGCCCACAGTCAGGACAAATCTCTGTCACCCGCCAGTCCCACAGCCGCTCAGACCCAACCAAGTAAACACAGAGACTTATATTGCATATAAACTGTGTGGCCGTGGCAGGCTTCTTGCTAACTGTTCTTATAGCTTAAATTAATCCATTTCCATAAATCTATACCTTGCCATGTGGCTCGTGGCTTACTGGCATCTTCACATGCTGCTTGTCATGTAGGCGGCTGGCAGTGACTCCTTCTGCCTTCCTGTTCTTTCTTTTCTCCCCTCTGTTAGTCTCGCCTATACTTCCTGCCTAGCCACTGGGCAATCAATGTTTTATTTATTGACCAATCAGAGCAACACATTTGCCATACAGAACATCCCACAGCATCTACGTGTGGGTGCACATGAGTACTGGTACCCATAGCGTTTAGAAGAGGTCCTCAGTCTGGGCAGTGGTGACTCATGCCTATGTGGATCTCTGAGTTGAAGGCCAATGTGGTCTACACAGAGTGAGTTCTAGGACTGCCAGGGCTACACAGAGAAACCCTGCCTTGAGAAAAATAAAGTCGGGGAAGAGGGGTCTGAGATTCTCTGGAGCTGGTTGTTTGTGGAATAATATGAGTTCCTAATTCCTAGCCCATCTCTTTGGCCTGTATTTTGTTACTTTATTCAATTTTTCTCTTAAAAACTGGGAAGACAGCATGAAGTAACTACTGCACAGATACACTGAAGGTGTTGTCCTGCCTTTGGTCACTAGAGGGTGCGTACCTTTCCCTTTCCTTCTGGTGGTACTGGCGCTCAAATCCAGCCCTTGCAAAGGAAACAAAATACCAACTGAGCTATCCCTTGCCTCTAATCCACAGAGGTATGTGTGGAGCTTTTTGTTTGTTTGTTTTTCAAGATGGTTTCTCTGTGTAGCTCTGGCTGACCTCGAACTCACATTGATCTGCCTGCCTCTGCCTCCTGAGTGCCAGGATTAAAGGTGTGTGTCCCCTGCTGCGCCCTCCCCCCCCCCCCAGCATTTTTTTTTTTTTTTTTTTTTTGGTTTTTCGAGACAGGGTTTCTCTGTGTAGCTTTGCGCCTTTCCTGGAACTCACTTGGTAGCCCAGGCTGGCCTCGAACTCACAGAGATCCGCCTGCCTCTGCCTCCCGAGTGCTGGGATTAAAGGCGTGCGCCACCACCGCCCGGCTTTCCCCCCAGCATTTTTTAAGCCAGAGTCTCTGTGTAGCCCTGGCTGTCCTGGAACTAGCTATGTAGATCAGGCTAGTATCAAACTCAAGGAGATCTGCCTATCTCTGCCTCCCAAGAGCTGAGATTATAGACATACACAATCACGCCTAGCCTGGGGTATTTGTTTCATTTCTGTTGTCACAGTATTGTGAGCCACCTGAGGTGGGTGCTAGGAATCAAGTTCATGACCTTTAAAAGAGCAGCAAGCTCCTTCAGCTGCTGAGCCACTTCTCCAGCCCTTAGTGAGAGGGGGGGTGAGGTGGGGGAGGGAGAGAACAGGTACTTAGACTTGCAGCAGTGTTCACAGAGGTCAGAGGACAACCTGTGGGAATTTCTTCTTTTCTGCTCTTCGATCCTAGTGATTAAGCATAGGTCAATGAGGCATCTTGTGGTTCCTTAAGTAGACTTCTTAATCTAGAGTTTTAAAACTGCAGGTTTGGGCTTTCTTCCTTTGAAAAAATAAAATAAAGCTGCAAGAGGTTCCCCTTCCCCCTTTTGGGCAACTATTTTGTAGCAGCATACAACAATCCAGAGAAAAATGGTAAGGAAGCTAAACTAAGTGTTAACAAAACCTGAGTATCCTTGGCTGTAGGAACAGTTGTTAGAGCTGGTGGTGGGGGGCGCGCCTTTTGCTAGGAAGCCTATTGGCCGTTCTTCCTCTAGTAATCTTGCATCTGTGCAGGGCTGAGATCTGGGCATTGGAACAAGTAAGATACTTTATATTCACAGCAAGAACTCCTGAGGAGTTCCAGGGAAGTGTGGATGAGCTCCGGCCTTCCGGTTTGGTTCAGCGTCCAAATCACTCAAAAGCCTTTTCTTTTTTGAGATACACTATTTATCTCACTACATATCTCTAACTAGCCTAGAACTTGCTGTGTAGGCCAACTGGTCTTGAACTAACAGATCCTTCTGCATCCACCTCAAAGAGCTTTTATAATGTGCAATTTACAAAGCTCTGCCTCTAACCTACATTCTGCATATTGAGTGTATGTGGTTTTTTTTTTTTTTTTTAATTGTTTTATGTTATGGGCATTTTGCCTGCATGTCTTTCTGTTTGCCACTTGCATGTCTGGTGTTCCCAGAGACCAGAAGAGGTCGTTGGATCCCTTGGGACTGGAGTTATAGGTGCTTGTGAGGAGTTACAGATGTGGCCATGTTGGTGCTGGGAATCTTGTAGGTCCTCTACAAGGGCAGCAAGTAATCTTAGCTGCTGAGTAATCTTAGCCCTGCTTTAATTTTTAAAATTACATTTGACTTATTTAGGTGTGTGTCTGTCTGTTTCTGGGTTTTGGTGTTGGTGTGTGTGTATATACATGAGCATGCATGTGCCTTGCCACCGCACACCTGTAGATGTAAGAGGACAGTTTTTGTGAGCGTGTTCTCTCTTTCCATTGTTTGAGTCCCAACTCAGGTCATCAGGCTTGGTGGCAGGCACCTTTTCCTGCTGAGGCATCTCACCAGCTTCTGTGTCTTTTGAGAGGAAATCTTAGTATGTTGCCAGGCTTGGCACCAATTTTCTGGGCTCAAGTCATTCTCTTGCCACAGCCTGTCCACTAGCAGGGACTACAGATGTACACCACTGTGCCTATCACTTATCATTGGTTTTGATGACTAGCTAGCTATATTGGGAGTCCATTGGGTCATTTCCCACCCAGGATGCTTTTAGGGTTTTGTTTTTGTTTTTGTTTGTTTATTTTCCATGACAGGGTTTCTCTTTATAACATCCCTGGCTGTTCTGGAACTAACTCACTTTGTAGACCAGGCTGGCCTCAAACTCACAGACTCTGCCTCCCAAGTGCTGGGATTAAAGGTGGTGCCACCACCACCTGGCTGGGATGCGTTTAGAGGTTTTTCTGTTTTTTTTTTTTGTTGTTGTTGTTTGTTTTGTTTTCTTAATTGAAAATAAAATTTTTTTATACAATATATTCTGATCATTTTCATCTTCCAGCTCTTCCCCACCCTTCCAACTCCAGACCTTCTTCCTCTCTCTTAAGAAAACATAGGCAAAAGCAACAGTAAAAAACCCACAAATAATAATAATAGTAATTTAAAAATGAATAAACTAATAAACAGAAACAGAGAAATGATACATATGCAGAGATACACATAAACAAAATCCATAAAAACAAAATCAGAAACCTTAATATACAACCAAAAAATGAATAAGATTTTGTGTTGGCTATCTACTTCTGGGCCTGGGGCCTACCCTTAAGTGTGGTTTGAAATGCCTTTGGAGAAATAATTTTTCCTTTGCAAGGGGGAGTTGGAGGTAGCTTCTTGGTTAGGGATGGGAGTTTGTGTCTACTTCTCCATCTCAGTGCTGGACACTGTCTGGTTTGGACCTGTGCATGTGAGTTCATATGTGAGTCAGTCCTGTTGTGTTTCCTGGTATTATCCATCTTCTCTGGCTCTTAAAATCTTTCTGCCTCCTCTTCCACATAGTTTCTTCAGCCCTGAGGGGAGAGATTTGATGGAGACAACCTATTTAGGACTACGTGTTCAAAGGTCTCACTCTCTTCACATTCAAGGTGTGGGTCTCTATATTAGTTCCCATCTTTTGCAGGGGAAGCTTCTCTGATGATGGCTGCTATAAGTGTAGCAGAGTGCTGTTAGAAATCATTGCATTGCTGTGCTCCTTTAGCAGAACAGTAGTATTTGGGTTTCCCCTGTATCTATGGCCTGTCTAGTCTCAGGTTCTTGGCCACCTAAGCAGTGTCAGGCATGGGTTCCATCTCATGGAGTGGGTCTTAAATCCAATCAGAGAGTGGTTGGTTACTTCAACAACAATTGTGTTACTGTTGCACCAGTGTATCGTACAGGCAGGTCACCATTGTAGATCAAAGAGTTTGTAGCTTGGTTTGTGTCCACATTTTTCCTGTAGTAGAATACAGAGTACATTCCAGTACCATGAACTCTAGTCAGAGTTCACTCTTCTAGGGGTGATGGCTCTATGTAGGTACCAACGCTTTAGTGCTCTGTGTTCAGTGAGATATGCAAGTGTTGTCTTTAGCTGTAGGGCCTTACCATCAGTTTGTGGAGAGCAACTAATAGCCTTAGCTATTATTAATATTAATAATAATATTATTATTATTATTAATAGCTTGAATTATTTGGGAGTGTCTATGGGGCCCCTTTGGCCAACAGCTCAATTAGTTGTAACCTGTTCCTGGCCCTGGAGGTCTTGTCTCCCCTGTTATTTGGTGACTCCGTTTAGATTTCTTAAAATAGGTGTATATTTTTAGAAGTGTCTACTGTAGTATGTTTCCATATGGCCTCTCAAATTGCCCGCAGTGCTAACTTTCCCTTCTTTACCTCCCTTTTCCCTCCCTCTCTCCATTAATCCTCCCATTCTTGTCTCTTCCCTGTCTCTCTCTAACTGTATATTCTGTTTTTCTTTCCTTGGGAATCCTCCTGACCTCCTAGTTCTTCCTCTATACCTAACCTCTGTGGTCATACTGATCGTAATGCCTCTCAAAGGCTCTAAAGCTGACCATCCACACACGACACTGTCTTTTGGGGTCTGGGTTATGTCACTCAGGATGATTTTTTTTTCTAGTTCCATCTATTACCTGTAAATTTGAATGATTTCTTTCTTTTTTTAAAAAATAGCTGAATTGTGTAATTCCATCTTGTAAATGTACCACATTTTCTTTATCCATTCATCTGTTGATGACATCCAGGCTGTTCCTACTTCTGGCTATTATAAATAGAGCAGCGTGAACATGGGAGAGCAAGTTTCTCAGTAGTAAGATGTAGAGTCGTTATGGGTATATGCCCAAGAGCGGTACAATTGGATCTTGAGGTAGATGGATTTCTAACTTCTTGAGGAACCACCACACTGATTTCCATATTGTCTGTGAAGTTTGCACTCCCCCCAGCAATGATGAGTGTTTCCCTTCCCCCACATCCTTGCCAGCATGAGCTGTCATTTGTTTTACTGATCTTCGACATTCTGACTGGTGAAGGATGTAATCTCAAAGTAGATTTGGTATTCATTTCCTTGATAACTAAGGATGTTGAACATTTAAGCGTTTCTCAACCATTTGTATTTCATCTTTTGAGAACTCTTATTATTTATTTATTATGTATACAGCATATGTGACTGCAGGCCAGAAGAGGGCACCAGATCTCATTACAGATGGTTGTGAGCCACCATGTGGTTGCTGGGAATTGAACTCAGGACTTCTGGAAGAGCAGTCAGTGCTCTTAACCTCTGAGCCATCTCTCCAGCCTTATAGATTTTTTTGTTTGTTTGTTTGGGTTTTTTTTTTTTTTTTTTTTTTTTTTGTTTTCCGAGACAGGGTTTCTCTGTGTAGCTTTGCACCTTTCCTGGAACTCACTTTGGAGACCAGGCTGGCCTCGAATTCAACGGAGATCTGCCTTCCTCTGCCTCCCAAGTGCTGGAATTAAAGGAGTGCGCCACCACCGCCCGTACCCCATTTTTAAGTTGGGTTGCTTTCTTGATGTCCAGTTTTTTTTTTTTAAGTTCTTTATATATTATAGATATTAAGCCTCTATCAGATGTAATTGGTATCAGTATGTAATTGGTAAAGCTCTTTTCCTATTCTGTAGCCTGCTGCTTTGTCCAAGTGATGGTGTACTTGCTGTACAGAAGCCTTTCAATTTCCTCTTTTTTTTTCTTTTCCCAAGACAGGGTTTCTCTGTATAGTCCTGACTGTCCTGGAACTTGTAGACCAGGCTAGCCTTGAACTCAGAGATCCACCTGCCTCTGCCTCCAGAGTTCGGGATTAAAGACTCCAATTTCATGATATCCCATTAGTGTTGTTCTTAGTGCCTGTTCTATCAGTGTCCCATTCAGAAAGTCTTTTCCTGTGCAAATGAGTTCAAGACTATTGGGGAAGTGGGGACACTTCCTCTTCTATAAGATTCAGGGTATCTATCCTTATGTTAAGGTCCTTGATTCATTTGTAGTTGAGTTTCATGCAGGGTGATTAATATGGATCTGTTAGCATTCTTGTACATGTAGCCATCAGCTTGACTAGCACAATTTGTTAAAGATGCTATCTTTTTTTGAGTGTGTATTTTGGGCTTTTTTTTTTTTTTTTTTTTGTCAAAAATCAGGTATCCATTGGTGTGTGAGCTTATGTCTAGGTCTTCAGTTTTATTCCAGTGATAAACATTTCTGTTTGTATGCCAATACTGCTGTGGGATGTCCTGTATGCTGTAAATATATGTTGCTATGATTGATAAATAAAATGCTGATTGGCCAGTAGCCAGGCAGGAAGGATAGTGTAGGCGGACAAGGAGGAGGAGAATTCTGGGAGGTGGAAGGCTGAGGCAGGGAGACACTGCCAGCTGCCATGAGGAGAAGCATGATGTAAGATACCGGTAAGCCACGAGCCACGTGGCAAGGTATAGATTTATAGAAATGGGTTAATTTAAGATATAAGAACAGATAGCAAGCAGCCTGCCACACCATACAGTTTATAAGTAATATAAGTCTCCGTGTGTTTACTGGGGGACACTAATGGGAGAGATTTGTCCTGACCGTGGGCCAGGCAGGGCTAGGAAACTTCAGCTACACAATACCATGCAGTTTTTATTACTATAGTTATGTAGAGCCATTTGAGATTGGGGATGGTGACACCTCCGGCACTTTTATTATTTAGGATCGTTTTAGCTATCCTGTGTAATGAGTCTTTCTCTGTACCACCAGCCTCCAAATAACAAAATGGAGACTTAATACTAATTATGAAAACTTGGCTTTAGCTTAGGCTTGTTTTTAACTAGTTCTTATAACTTAAATTAACCCATTTCTGTCATGTACTGCACATGTGTGTCTCCTGGTGTCTCCTGTGTGCCTAGACTTCTTCTCCTCTTCCTTTCTCTCTCCAGAAATCCCACCTATACCTCCTGCCTATACTGCTCTATTGGCTGTTCAGCTTTTTATTACAGCAGTCACAGCAATACACCTTCACACGTTTCCATATGAAGCTGACAATTGTCGTTTCAGGTTCTGTGAAGAACTGTGTTGGAGTTTTGATTGGGATTGTGTTGGATCTGTAGGCTGCTTCTTGTAGTTTGGCAAGTTTTCACTATAGAATCCTGCTGATCATGAGCATGGGAGGTCTTTCCATCTTCTTCAGTTGTTTAAAGCTTTTATCATACAAGTCTTTCACTTGCTTGGTTAGACTTAACCCAAGATGTTTTTTTTCTGTAATTAAAGGTGTGTGCTACACTACCTGGCTTTTTCTCCTACTCATGTCTTGAACTGTTTGCATTATTTCATTCCACTGTTTGTATTTTCACAGACTTCATTAAGGTATTTATTCATAAATAAATATATAAGGTCTTTAAGGTCCTTGAACACATTCATAATTGCTGTTTTCAATCCTTGTCTGGTGCTTCAGCTGTGTTGCATTTCTCAGGGCCTACCCTAGCAGGGCTACTGGGTTCTAGTGGAGGTGTATTGTCTTGGCTGCTAATGGTTGTGTTTTTGCACTGGTGTCTAGGCATCTGGTGTTTGGGATCATTGAGGAGATTCTTGGTGTTGCTATCTGGTCTTGTCTTTGTTGAGTGGGTGTTCACTCCTTGGTTTCTGTTGCCTTCTCTGGATCTTAGGGAAGTGATGGCCATGGGTTGTCTTGTAGTAAGTGCTTCTGGAAGTGGGTGGGTGGCAGAGAGAAAGGAATAGAGATAGGCTAGGAGAAAAGGCTGAGGGAGGCTTCAGGAAAGACCTATGATGAAGATCCTATTCACACCTAGGAGTGGAGTCCACAGGGAGCTGGAGGTATAGTAGGATCAGGGGATCTTGGAAGTAGGTTACATTAAACTACAAAATTGAAGAGAGATAGAGATGAAAGGGCTAGGGGATCCTGGATGTGGACTCAAGAGCTGGAGGTGGGTGGAGGTGGGGGACGGGGCGGGGCACTCCTGCAAGCAGATTGTCACTGGGCTGAGGGTAAGAGTGGAGAGATCTTATTGGAGCACAGTGTGATTCACCTACCCTGCCATGTATGGCCTCTGGGGGGCCTTTGGGATCTAAAGTATTTCTAGGTATGGGGGCTGACACAAAGGAATGGGGATGGGTTAGAAGGGGCTGGTGTGTGGAGAAGGTCCATAGGGAGAAGGAAAGTTGCATGCATGCCAAGATTTGGCAGAGCTCCCTAAGAACGGATGGAGGGAGGAGGAGTCCCTGCAAGCAGGGCTGCTACAGGACTGGGGATGAGCCTGGAGAGATGGAAGTGGAGGACAAGGAGAATGGAAATAGCCTACCTGAGCCCTAGCCTAGTGTGGCCACTGGGTTCCCAGGTAGAGAGTGTTCCTATGCATCAGTGGCTAAAACAAAGCGATGAGGGCCAGGAGGAGAGCTGGATCTGCTGAGTTTTTGTTTTTAAATAAGAAACCCTCTATTTTTTGTTTAGCAGTATAATTGCATTGTTAGGTAACGCCTTCAGGGTGCTGAGAGCCAGAATATTTTCAGCATTAGAAATATCAAGCTAGCAGCCTCTCTTGTTACAGGGATTTGCAGAAGCATTTTTGGAACATCTCTGGAAAAAGTTGCAGGATCCAAATAACCCCGCCATCATCAGACAAGCTGCTGCGAATTACATTGGGAGCTTTTTGGCAAGAGCTAAATTCATTCCTCTTATGTAAGTAGCCTAATTTTCCAAATGTCTTTTTAGTGTTTTGCTTTAGGAAGATTATAGTATTGTCTCAAGTCAAAGAAATAGGTCTTATATTTTTTGATCTGTCTTTGTAAAGCAAGGGGGAAAATGTTCACTACAATGCAAGGTGTTTTTATTTCTAAAAAGCAGTTTGAGAAGGAGAGGTCTCCATTTTAGATAATAGAAGGTACATGAGGCATCTGTTTGTGTGTTGAACCTGAAAGCCTGTCTCTGTTCATGGGTAGCACAGTGTTGTATATTGTTTTTATTCTTTTTGTAGGTTTGTTGTTTTTCATTTGCTTTCCAAATCAATTGTGTCTGTTTGATCTGGAGAAAACCCCTTGAAGGTGATTGGGGGTGGGATGGAGCTCAGTGGTAAAGTACATCTGGCACATGCAAAGCCCCGGGTTCAACCCCCAGCACTGAGACTTAGAGGTGATGTAGGGCATCTCTAGGGGCCAGTTTCATCAGGGGCTCCACAAGATACAGGCAAAGATACTGTTAAGCCACCCCCCAGTCAACTAAAAGTCTTGTGGTTCCAGCTTTTGAGTCCAGAAGGGAAGGAGCCCTGATCCTTTTAGCCACATTGCTATTAGGCTGGAAGCTAAGCCAGGAAACCTCAGCTGAATTGGAAAAACCCAGCTCCATCCCTGAATTTTTGTCTTTTTTGTTCCATTTTGGTTTTTTGAGACAAAGTCTTGCTCTGGAACCAGGTTGGCCACAGCTCCAGACCTGCCTTCAGTTTGCTCAGGGCCGGGGTTACAGGCCTTTGCTCCCGTGCCTAGCTTCTTGGGACATCCTTAAGGCCTCTTGCTCTGCAGAAGTAAGTGCTGCCTCACAGAGTTGGAAGGCATTCTTTAGTCCCAGTACTGGGGAGGCAGAGGCAGGTGAGCTCTGAGTTCGAGGCCAGTCTGGTCTGTAGACCGAGGTCCAGGACAGCCAAAACTACACAGAAATACTGTCTAGGGTGGGGATGGGAGACAACAAAAAACAAACCCCACAAAAACTCAAAAACAATAAAAATTGGAAGGCAATTTCCTACCACCTGTCCTTTCCTTCTGCTTTTCTCTGCCCACGGGTAAAGTTTTTGGTGGGTTTAGTTTTGGTGCTGGGGATGGAACCCAGGACCTCATGCATGTTAAGCACTTGCTTACCACTGAGGTACATCCCACCCCGTGGGTAGTATTTGAGCCTTTATAATGGATCGTGAAAGACAAGTGTGTGTTTCTGTCTCTAGCTTTTTGATGAAGCCAATAACACCAACTCTCTCTCTTTCCAGCACTGTAAAGTCATGCCTGGACCTTTTGGTTAACTGGCTGCACATGTATCTTAATAACCAGGATTCAGGAACAAAGGCTTTTTGTGATGTTGCACTCCATGGACCATTTTATTCAGCCTGCCAAGCTGTATTCTACACTTTCGTTTTTAGACACAAGCAGCTTTTGAGTGGAAACTTGAAGGAAGGTAGATAATGTGTTCAGGCTGGGTTTTCTCATTGTATTTGGACCTTTGGGTCGGTACTGCTTGCCTTGGGTTGATGCTTTATTGTGAATGTGGGAGAAGGGTTGGTGGGAGTTTGCCGCCACAGTGTAGTCATGGCGTCATGGACCTGCAAGGGAGAGCGAGGTAGACTGCGGTGTAAGACTCTGGGTTTCCTTCAAGCATGAACACTTTTTATTTTTCCCCACTGGTGTTTACGTATTGTTTAGGTAGCTACTAGAGAAATCACCGCAAAGGAGTCAGAGCAAAGGGTATCTTTGATCCGCTTGTTTGAGCTCTTCCTTCTTCACTTCCCGCCCTTGTGGCCTTGTTTTGCCACAGGAGAAATTCCTCCTAGTCCAGTGGTTCGCAACCTTCCACGCACACACTGCATGATGACTGCATGATGTGGAGGTCAGAGGACAACTTGCAGGAGTCAGTTCTCTTCCAATATGTGTGTCCTGGGGAATCAAACTTGGTTGTCAGGTTTGGTGGCATGCACTTTTTATCTGCTAAGCCAATTCGCCAGCCCTGGCCAAGAATCGTGATTAGAGAGGAAATACTTTTTGCAAGTTAACACATCTATTTCTTTCTTTTTAAAATTTATTTTATGTTTATGGGTATTTTACCTGCATGCATGTCTGTGTGCCATGTGCATGTAGTGACTTCAGAGACCAGAAGTAGGTGTCTTTGTGACTTTGTGATCTTTGTGACTGTAGTTTTAAACAGTTGTTAGCCACTATGTGGGTGCTGGGAACTGAACCCAGGTCCTCTACAAGAGCAACAGTAGTCTACATAGATAGGCCATGCGGCCTCTGCCATATCTACTTGTCATTTTAAAATGGTTTTGAGTCAGGTTCACACTTGGTAGTTCAAGCTACTTTGGAATTGGTCCTCTTGCCTCAGCCTTCCAAGGCTGGGATCATAGGTGTGTACTGTACCTGGCTTTGATTTTAAATAAATAAATATATATGTATATACATATACATATCTTAAATATATCACATGTAATATATGTGATATATATTCATTTTATAAAACATATATGGGAGTTTTGCCTGCATGTATGTATATGCACCGTGTGTGTGCCTGGTGCCATGGAGGTCAGAAGAGGGCATCTGATCTCCTGGAACTGGAGCCACAGACAGCTGTGAGCTGCAATATGGGTGCTTGGAACTGAGTCCAGGTCCTTTGTAAGAGAGCTATAAGTGCTCTAATCACTGGGACCTCTCTCCAGCCCATGTGTAATTTTTAAATTAAAGCATATATCAAAAATTACTATGTAAACAAACATTAAATTGGTCTGTTTACTGCAAAATAATAAATATCTGTACTTTATCAAAAAAAATTTTTTTGAGGTGATTCCAATATGGAGCCCAGGTTGGCTTTAATTCATAACCCTTCTACTCCATCCTGGGCCGGGATTCCATTGTAAGAGGGAATTCATTAGCTGCGAGAGAGGCTTATGTTACAAGGACTGATGGGGAGAGGAGAAAATACAAACAGTAACGTGTGCCTAAGAATGGGTGCTTGGCTGCACTGTTAAGACACACAGTTGAACTCAGTCTGTTGTTGTTGCCTGTTAGGAGTTCAGCTTCTGTGGTTTGTCTGCTTCATGCACCTGGTCTGCTCTGAGCTGTCAGATACTGATTCTAGGTTGTCATGTGTCTAGTTACGGTTTCTGTTGCTGTGAAGAGACACCATGACCACAGAAAGTATTAAAAGGAAAACATTGATTTGGGACTGGCATACAGTTTCAGAGACGGGAAGCATGGCAGCATGCAGGCAGACAAGGTGCTGAAGAAAGAGCTGAGAGTTCTACATCTTGATCTGCAGGCAGCGGAAGGAGGCGGTGTGCCACACAGGGCAAAGCTTGACCATATGAGACCTCAAAGCCCGCCCCCACAGCGACACACTTCCTCCAACAAGGCCACACCCACTCCAAACAAGGCCACACCTCCTACTGGTGTCACTCCCTGTGGGCCAAGGATTCCAACATGAGTTTGGGGGGCCATTCCTATTCTAACCAACACACTGTGTAATCCCTCACCTGCCAGGAACTTTGGTTTCTTTCTTCAGAAAAGCTGTACTGATTGACAGCAGTTGGCTTGAACTTTATTCCTGTATTTCTACAAATAACTTCTTGATAATGTCTTTATTTTGGGACATTCTGGGGCTGAAGCCCATCCTAAGCACACATTCTACCACAGAGTCCTTAAGTTGGTTTTTAAATGTGTAATACTTTGTGCTTTTAAAGATAATCTTAGCGGCCCTCCCCCTTTTTTTTAATCAAAGGTTTACGGTATCTTCAGAGTCTAAACTTTGAGCGTGTCGTGCTGAGCCAGCTGAACCCTCTGAAGATATGCCTACCATCGGTGGTTAATTTTTTTGCTGCTGTCACGAAGTAAGTCATTTCCATTTCCATTATGGATATTTAAAAAGTCAAGGGGTGGAACTGTTGTGCTGGCTGCCATGCGCTCTGTCACTGAGAGAATTCCAGTACATTTTGGAGAGCAATACACATGAAGAAACCAGTAATGCTGTTCCTTGAAAGAATACTGCATTCAGCTCTTTTATTCTTCAGCGACACTGAGAGTCAAGCCTACTTTTATCCAGAGAGGCCTAGGCACTCTGAAATACTTAATAGGCAAACTAGTAAGCTGAGAGATACAAATAATTCACAGATACTTAGTTCAGGGAAATACATATTAGTAACAAAACAAATTGGAGGGGAGCTTGATGGTTAAAGGTTGAGATAACTGAGTGTGGCTCTCAGGAAGTACTTGGCAACAGTAGAAAGTTTCTGAACACACAACCACAAACAGTGAATTCAGAATCAAACAGTAATGAATCTGAGGTGTTCCTGAAAGTGTGTGGCACATCATCACCCATTAGTTCTAAACACAGAGCTCTGCACGGCCTGTGCCCTACCTCACTCAGACACTGGCTCAGACTTAGGACTTTAGCATGGCATGAATGGCAGCGGTTTTTGTTTTTTTTTTTTATATGCACAAATTTTCTCCCTTTATAGGAATATAATGGTTTAATTACAGAAAACAAAGGCTTAATACTTTCCTCCTATCATTCTTCAGCATGTAAATATGGAATCAGTGTATCTTTGGGTTGTATTGTGTTTCCATGTTTGATTTTCATTGATACTGACTTGAATTTCATGAAAATCTTCAAGTGAATTTTTGCTGAAGAACAGCACTGCCATCAGTGAGCCCAGTTTCCTTCCGCCCTGTGCCAGGATTAAAAGTATGCATGGCACCTGGGTGGGGTTTTTTGTTTTGTTTTTTGTGTTTTGGGTTTGGTTTGGTTTTTTTGAGACAGGGTTACTGAGTAGTCTTGTTTGTCCTGGAACTAGCTCTGTAGACCAGGCTGGCCTTGAACTCACAGACATCTGCCTATGTGTGCCACCATGCCTACCTGTACCTGGATTTTTTTTAAAAAGTATTTATTTTTATGTGCATGAGTGTTTTGCCTACAAGTATGTCATGTGTCTGTGCAGCACCTTTGTGCCTGGTGCCAGAGGCCAGAAGAGAATGTCCAATCTCATAAGACTGGAGTCTCAGATAGTTAGTTGTGAGCCACCATATGGATGCTGGGAATCAAACCTGTGTCTTCTGGAAGAAAAGCCAGTGCTGAATCATTGAGCCATCACTTACACTCGTTCTTTAAAATACAGGCTCTGGGGATGGCTTAGGCTCTCATACTTTACTGAGTTACATTCACCAGTTCCAATTAAAAAGTAATCAGATGCTTTCTGTAATGCCTTTTCTGGGAAGTCATAGTTGGCTGGAAATGAGCTTGTAAGCTACTGTGGCTTAGCAGTAGACATGCTTGAGTACATGAGGCCCTGGACTGTGCAGAAAAAAACCCAAAAACAAACAAGAAAAACATGCTCATTCTTGTCATCGTAGCACTTGGGAGGGTAAGGCCAGAGAATCAAGAGTTTGAGGTCAGTCTGCTACATGGTGAAACCCTGTCTGAGAACATAAAAGGAAGGAATGGGGAAGAAGAGCTGGTGTGTGGCTCATGCCTGTAATGCTAATACTTGGAGGCTGAGGCTAGAAGATTGCCAAGGCTATAGGATGAGACCCTGCCTCAAAAAAAAGTCAGCTTTAGTCAGGTCCTTCCGTAAAATTCAGAATATCTCCACTGGCATCTACTCTTGGCCCCTAGTAAACAGTGAGTCATTTTTTTTTTTTTTTCATGAGTCCTAATTCTTTTTGAAAGCAGAAAATAGGTACCTTACTATTGTGCTGAGTACTTTAACATTGCAAGTATATTAGCTTTTCATAATACACATTAATCTCAGCCTGATTTGGTGTTCTGTTTCCTTCCTCCTTAGCAGATATGCAGATCCCAGGCCCAGAGTGCTCACCCTAAGTGGTCCTGTTTCTTGTTGTCCTCATTGTACCCAGCAGTGTCTGCATCACAGCAGTAATCTGTACACCACGACCCACAGGGTGACCCTAGCACGGTTTTGTTTTATCTTCTTTGTTGTGTGTCCCACAGTAAGTACCAGCTCGTGTTCTGCTACACCATCATGGAGAGGAACAATCGCCAGATGCTCCCTGTTATTAGAAGTACAGCTGGTGGAGATTCTGTGCAGACCTGTACCAACCCACTGGACACTTTTTTTCCCTTTGACCCCTGTGTGCTTAAGAGGTAGGTCCTCTCAATTGACTCTGTGGGACATACTTACTCTTCCCAAGGCTGGGATTGAGAGTTGCTTTGTCCTGCGTGGGCTTCCTGACTGTTAATTTGGCTAATGGTGAATGCAGGAATGTCACAGGCCCCAGACTGCTTCACAAGCACATCATGGCTGTGCTCATGTTTCCCTAAGCCCAGGGGTACTGAGGCCTTTTTCATCTTTTTGTCCTTTGTTTTCCTTTCAAATGGTTGGTTTAAGTTGATTAGGCTGTCGGGTGAGTTCCTGGGATAGAGAGGGTGCTGCCAGCTTTTGGCCTCTTAGTTTTCTCCCAATGACCAAATCCATCCCAGTGCCTATGATTTATCTAGATAGGTTGTTCTAGAAAACCACCAGGCCATTCTTGGTGTTTGTATATTTTGACTAACTGCAGTTTCTTTTCTTTTTTCTTTTTAAGTTTGTTTTTGTTTTTTGAGTGTTTTGCCTGCATGTGTACATGTGTATCATGTGCTTGCCTCATGCCTGTGGAGATAGAAGAGAGGTAGGATCCTTTGTAAGAACAGCTAGTACTCTTAATAAGTCAAGATGGCTGATATCATCTGAGTTGGTTTTCTAGACTTACTGTCTAGCAGATTCCTGTAGAAGTTCTAGAATATCAATCTGTTTGTACATATGATAACTTGTCAGTCACTGAGTGGGTCAGAAGCAGTTTCCCTTGGAGTCTGAGGGACAGAAGATAACTGCTCCCCTGTGTGACTGGGGAAGAAGCCCTAATGAACGAAACCTCAGGACTCACAGCCCCGTCAGCTCTAGTTCTCACTTCCTGCTGTGGCATGTGGGTCTGAGAAGAGAGCGAAGGTGTTGGATTGTTGGCTACATAGTCATTTACTTTGAAATGCCATCCTTGTTGGCAGGTCAAAGAAGTTTATTGATCCTATTTATCAGATTTGGGAAGACATGAGTGCTGAAGAGCTACAGGAATTTAAGAAACCCTCTAAAAAGGTAAATTTGTGATGAAGGCACTTGGTGAAAGTCTCATGTAGTTACAGACCACAGTAAACACTGTAAACGCTGCTTGAGTCCAAGCCCAGGTTATGTTATTAGTAATAGAGACGATTTGTGGGCTTCTGTTTCATTTATTTCTATCATGGGGGTTTCATGACGTTCTAGGCCCTTCCTTCCTGTCACTGAGTACTGTTTCCCACCATACTAGGCAGTTCTTTTTTTTTGTATGTGTTTGTGTATATGTGTGTGAGGTCAGGTGTGTGCATGTGTGTGGAAACCAGAAGTTAGCCTTAGTGTTGGGCCTTAGGAGCTACTCACCTTAGTTTGTAAGACAGGGTCTTTGATTGACTGGAGTTTTCCAAGTAGGCTAGTCTGGCCAGCCCAGGGAACCTGCCTGTCTCTGCCTCCTCAAGGCCGAGGTTCCACGTGTATGTTGTACTTTGTTTGTTTGTTTATTCATCCATTTATTTATTTATTTATTTTGGTTTTTTTTCAAGACAGGATTTCCTTGCATAGCCCTAGCTGTCTTGGAACTCATAGACCAGCCTGGCTTCGAACTCAGAGATGCACCTACCTCTGCCTCCTGAGTGCTGGGATTAAAGGCGTGTGTACCATGCCCAGCCTTTTTTTTTAAGTTTATTTTATTTATGAGTACACTACATGTATATCTACATGCCAGAAGAGGGCACCAGATCTCATTACAGATGGTTGTGAGCCACCATGTGGTTGTTGGGAATTGAACTCAGGACCTCTGGAAGAGCAGCCAGTGCTCTTAACCGCTGAGCTATCTCTCCAGCCCCACCCAGCTTTATTTTTATTTTTATTATTTTGTTTGTTTGTTTGGGTGTTTTGGGGACAAGGTTTCTTTGTATCGCCCTGTCTGTCCTGGAACTCATTCTGAAGACTAGACTAACCTCAAACTCAGAGATTCTCCTGCCTCCGCCTCCGACATGCTGGGATTAGAGGTGGGCGCCACCACTGTCAGCAGCTTATCTGACTTAGAAATATGAGTACTGGGGACTGAGTCAAACCCTTACGCTGTGCAGCGAGTTCATCGAGACTGAGCTGTTTTACCAGCCCCGTCTGTAATGACTTTGAGAGGTAAACATTGGTTGGAAATAAGCTTGCCAGCTGTAGTGTGGCTTAATGGTAGAGCGCTTGACTAGCATGCTTGAGGCCCTGGGTTCCACCCCAGCACTGCAAAGCTGGGGTTTCAGTCCGCTCATACCTGCTGTCTTAAGTGCCAGAGGATCAAGAGTTCTGAGGCTACAGAGTGAGACTGTCTGGGAGTATATAAGGAGGAGCTGAGAAGGAAAGTAGCTGAGAATAGCTGTGCCTGTAATCCTAGTACTTCAGAGACTGGTGCTACAGATTGCTGAGGCCACAGAATGAGACCCTGTCTAAAAACAAACAGAATGAGATCCTAACAGAGCTTCACTGCCCTCATTTATTTGCTCATTTACCACCAAACACAAATGTCACTCAGCTCATTGTAAAGTCTGCTCCTGTTTTGGGATCCTCAGGAATACACAGACTTGTGTCATTCCTCAAGCTTCTTGATGTGGAGCCAGCATGGTCCTACCCAACAAGAATTTAGATCTAAGACAGTACTTCTTAACCTGTGAGTTGTGATAGGGTCACGACCCCATTGGGGGTGACCCTGTTGGGAGTCAAGATGATCCTTTCACAGGGGTACCTAAGACCATCGGAAAACACCGATACTTACATTACGATTTATAACAGTAGCAAAATTAATTATGAAGTAGCAACAAAAATAATTTCATGGTTGGGGTCACCAGTGTGAGGAACTGTATTAAAGGGTCGAGGCATTAGGAAGTTTGAGAATCCCTGCTGTAGAGGAAATGGTGCTGTTCCTGTCTGCAGCGCTCTGACCCCACATTCAGCGTGGTCATGTCCTTGTTGATTTGGGAGCTCACACGTTAGGCTGGACTTGACGGCTGTTTTGTTTCCCAGTGCGGGGTGTTGGGGGATGGAGTCTGCTCTCTGTTTACTGAGTAATTTTTCTGGCTCCGGAAAGGAGTTCTTAAGCTTTTCATTAAAAAAAAAAAAAAAAAAAAAGTTAGGGGTCCTGGAGAGATGGGTCATCAGTTAAGAACATTTACTTAGACTCTTCCAGAGGACCCAGGTTCAATTCCCAGCACCCACCTAGCAGCTCACAACCATCTGTAACTCTAGTTCCACAGGATCAGACACACTCTTTTGACCGTCAGAGGCAAAATACTCATATATATAAAATAAATTTAAAAAAAATTTAGGACTAGGCATGGTGGTGCACACCTTTAATCCCAGCATGCAGGAGGCGGAGGCAGGAGGATCTCTGAGTTTGAGGCCAGCCTGGTCTACAGAATGAGTTCCAGGACAGTCAGGATTAAATAGAGAGACCCTGTCTTGAAAGACTGGAAAACAAAATTAAAAACAAACCAGTTGTGTGTGTACACCAAGTCCGAGGACAGCTGGTGGGTCTGGCTCGTTTCTGTCACGGCGTCTCGGCAGCCATGAAGACTTTTCAGACTAGCGCTGTGACGTCCTCAACACTCTGTTCTCTACACAGGAGCTAGTGGAGGACGAAGATGACGACTTTCTGAAAGGTGAAGTGCCCCAGAGCGATGTGGTGATCGGCTTTACCCCGAGCTCCTTGGACGCCCACTTCCGAAGTCCTTCCAGCAGTGTGGGCTCCCCACCTGTGCTGTACATGCCAGGCCAGCCCCACTCACCTCCAGGACCTGTGGTTGAGCTGTGACTGCTCTTCTTAGGGCCCCGAGCCCCACCTCTGGACCCACACTGGACTAGTCTGTGCCTCGTATGTCCGGCTTCCATGCTGGTTGGACTTGGGCCAGTATCTGAAGGGACCCAGGTTGCGTGTGTTTGCAGTTTGCTCCCTGTGGACAGAGGGAAGAACAAGTGTCACGTGCAGTATTTCACAGTGGGCATATCAGTCAGTGCCGATGCTTAGAGTGTTGGCTTAATGTGGAGTATCTGCCTGCAGCCTTCTGATGGAACTGCTGGATGCATGCTAGCGTCACATCCTAGCAGATGACCTTTTCACAGGTTTCTTACTATCAGAACCACAGTCATAGGACTTTTTTGGTCTTGTTTTGATGAGAAATCTTCCAAGATCCTGCCAAGAATACCCTTTAAGTAGATCCTGCCTACAGTGGCATAATGGTTCCCTTTTGACTAGAAGTACATTTGTGATGTAGGGTACAAAGGGAAATCCCAGGCAGGGGTGAAATGCTGAGCGTTTGGGTTGGCTTCAACCCAGGGAACACAAAGGACTGCAGAGGGGCCAAGAAGGCAGGAGGAAAGAAAGGATTCAGAGAAACAGGAAAAGGCACTGGTGCAGGAGAGTGGATCTGACATGAACACAGGTGCATCCCCTGTACCTCAGGCTGACCAAGCGGCCTGGGTGTGGCCTGGGTGTCTGAAAAGTAGTTTAACAACTTGTACAACATGGACTCAGCCTGAAGAGCTGCTCCATAGCAGGCCTGTGTGAGGACTTCAGAGGTGTCCTTCCCTGGGATCCTTACATGTGAAATTTGTATTTGTGAAATGGCCCTTTAAGTATATTTAATTTTTTTGCTACTTATATTTATTGAAAGGCAAGCAATATTTTCTTGGTCACAATATTTTTAATGGACTTCCTCTCAATGTTTATATGGTCTTGTGTAATGACACTGATGCCCTCTGGATTTCAGTCTACCTGTTAATACCTTTTTGGAACAAAGAAATTCTTATTGCTTTAAAAAGCTTTCACCACAAGGCAGGCAGATCCCTGAGTTCCAGGCCAGCCTCGGTGGAAAGTCACTAGGAAACCTCAAGGTTCCGCTGTAACTGCTGACGGAAAGATGCAAAGAAATGCATCCATAGATGCTGACATGGTGTGAGGTTTGGGCAGTAGCTAGAATGAAGAAGGTGTGTTGATAAATAAACCTTTGCAAATGGGCTTGAGAAAAAAGTCCATTGTGAAAAATTAAAGGATGGTGTAGTTCACCTAGCACTTCCTACTCATGTCATTGAGGGCTTTAATAATGACTCCCCACCATTTTCCCATGATTGGTGTGTTTAAGTCTTAGCTTCCTGCTCCATTAAAAGGGGGTGGGATGGTTCAGAAACGATTGGGCAGTGATTAGGATGTTCTCCATGGTTTGAACAAACCCATGAAAACACTTCAGAGAAATTCTGTGCCATCTGGACGTGTGGTATACCTATGATTTCACCACTTGGGAGGCTCAAGCAGTATTTTAAGTTAAAGCTAGACATAGTGAGATAGGTTTTTAAAAAAGCTAAACATCTGTGGAAGAAAGTAGTGAAGTCTCCTTGGAAAAAAAGAATAATTTTCTTTTTAGTACTGAGGATGAAACCAGGGTCTTTCGCCCACACACACCTAGACAGGTTTCGCTAGCCTGAGATGAGGAGTTGGCAAGCACTGGAGTTTGCAGATGGTCTGGGGACGGGAGGGCTCCGAATGCTAAGCACACACTCCACACCTGCCTTCCTGCATGCTTTGTTTCTGAACCGTAGAGCCTCTGTGGCTCATAGGACACATCCTATGCTTTCCTTCTGCATGTTTCAGTCATTGTGCTTAGGTCCTGAATTTGTGATCTGGTGCCTCAGTGCAGTTAGGGCTCCAAGTCTGGCTTTCGTTCTCATCCACAGGCTGGAAGCTGCAGTCACTGTTTACTAAGGTGTTACGTAATGCTTTTTAAAAACCTTTTATTTGATAGGGATTGATCCTCAGACTCTGCCACAAAAGTGTGCTTCCACTGACCCACACTCCTAACTTTCCCACATCCAATTTTTAGAATTATGTACATTGATGGGAAACAGTTCAGTTTAGCACTTTCTGCCCTTAAGCATGTAACTATTTAATTGTTCAGGATACTTTCACATTCCTGTCTTCAGGTTTGTATAAAACTGTGATCCAAAGCCATAGTCAGGGTGGATGGCTGTGTGGACAATAGCACTTGCTCCTTTAGCAGAGGACCAGTTCTGCCCACAGCACCCACAGCACCCACAGCACCCACAGCAGGTGTCTCACAGCTGTCTGTAACACCAGCTCCAGGGTCTAACAGGCTGCATGTTTTAGGCACTTCCACTCACGTAAGTCCTAATAAATATTAAAAAGCCACAATCTCAGAACTTGTGAGGCTAAGACAGGACTGTCATGAATTCAAGATGAACCTAGGCTATGCAGTGAGCTCCAGGCCAGCCTGAGTTGCAGAGGGAGCACCTGTGTTGTGATCCATTGTCCTAGGAGCCACACAACTGCCATCCTGGGGAGTTCAGCTGAGCCCCTTGCAAAAGAATAATCCCAGCTGGGCTTGTTGACTGTCTGCATCCAGCCACAGGGTGGAAAGGGGGTGAGAGGAGTTGTATGCAGCTCCGCCTTAATTGCATGGGGCATCAGAATAGTCAGGCCTGGAAGACTAGGGGAGGGGCCTCTTATTCCTGCTAAGTAAAGACCTTCTAGATGCAGCTGGTTGGGTGGGGGCACTCATATTTCTGTAGGTAAACCCTCACCTGTTGAGGATTGTCTCAGCATGGGTGTGTGGGGTTCACGTGGATCTGTGGAAAGAAGATTCGGAGGCACCTTAAAGAATGAATCTAGCCTTTCTCAGCTGCAGGAGGGTCCAGCCTGTAAGGACTGAAGCACTTTCCCTTAGCCCAGGGCATTTTTATTTTCTATTAGCCAGTTAATTTCTGTATGCTCAAAACAACCTGAAAGGAACTCCCAAAGATACAATGCCAAGTGTAAATTCCTTGATTTCTCAGGTACCACGGCTTTCCAGGTTTCCTGAATCAAGTTTTGCATAGGCCTTTGATCCTTGGGAGACTTTGACAAGATTCACATAGGGCGATAAGAGAAACAAAAGGTATTGGTTAAACAAAGGATGGATTAGGGCTAGGTGCTACTTTCTGGAGCCAGGCCAGGAGCTCAGCAGGAATGCACCACCCTCACCTAATGCTCTAAGAAAGTCCAAAACCTCATTCCACTCTCCAGAGTGAACTTTAGTGGAACCATGCTGAGGGTTGTCACTGGGACCTTAGGTGTCCTGGTTGGTTTTCTACACAAACTTAGAATTAACACAAGCTAGAGTCATCTAGGAAGAGGAACCTCCATTGAGAAAATGCCTCCATCAGATTGCCTGTAGGCAAGTCTGCAGGGCATTTTCTTCATTAATGATTGATGTGGAAGGGCTAGGCAGGAGGTCCTGCCTACTATAAGGAAAGCAAGCTATACAAATCCATTTTGCCATTGGCCTCAAGTTTCTGCCCTGACTTCCCTTCAATCTCAATATATCAGACCTCTGAAACAATGGATTCCAAAGAAATTAATTTCTCCAGGAATCTCATGCTGGAAGAAGGAAAAGACACCAGCCAGAAGGAGAACTTGTCTCCAGGAGAGATTTCAGAGTTCTAACAATTTGCTAGACCACAGAATGAGACTAAAGTCCAGATGATGGGTTGACCCAAACCAACAGGAATAAGGGCCTTGAACACCAAGGTCAGTTGAGTGGGAGGACCAAGGATGAGAAATAGATGGGAAATAAAGACAAAAGCAGTAATAGCTGGGACCCTGGAGGTCTTCCAGAAGCCGATGTAAGTTTATTAAGTACAGCATATTGGGGGGGGGGGTAAGGTCAGCCAAGAGCTAAGTCAAGCAGACAACGTTGACAGAATACACAAGATACCGCAAACACAGCTACCTTAGGACTGATGTCGGGTCGCCAGAAACTCCAAGGCACTGGCTCCAGCGTTAGACAGGCTCTGTCAATTCTGTTCCTGGACAAGGATACAGAACTGACCTCTGTCTTTACATCACGTCCTCTTAGAAAGTCTTGGTTTGGTCTGTGTAAGCAGTGCAACGGTTAAAGAAGTATCCTGGCAGTCTGGAGCCAAGGACTACCACAAAGTCACTTTAAGTTTAGCAGTTTCCAGTTTTGCTCCAGGGAAAGGTTTCCTCAATATAACGACTCTGCCCCAGCAGGGGTGGGTTTCCCCAGGGAAATTGTTCCAGTTTTGCTCAGATCCCCTGGAATTTGTAACAACTCTGCTCCCCTAGAGGAAGGATCTGCACAGCTCTGCTCCTGAGAAAGCTCTCTGCTCCATCTAAATAAGGTCTGTAAGCATTCTGTACGGGATTCAAGAGATGTATTGGGAGAGAAGAATCCAGGAGGGTGGCTGCCTCTGCCAGGGTGTCAAAAGGCAGCTGCCAACTGAACAGGCACAGGGCTTATATAGGGCTTCTTGGGGTAGATTTTTTTCAGTTTAGATTTTCAGGGTGGGAATTGGTCGGATTTCAATCCCCAAGCTTAAAACAAGCTCAGAGATTGGCTGGATTTTGTGCTCAGCGATTAGTTGGGTTTTGCGCTGAGTTGGTCAGGGGCAGAGTGTTTCTTTCACTGGCCCTTTTTAACCTTTTGGCTCTGGTTTCAGGGCCAAAGTGTGTTCTTTGGCTGGCCCTTTCACCCTACAGTCTGGCTCTCCCCAATGGGTCAATAGTCTGGTTAGATGTGCATATCCTTTGCCTTCTATTTAAACTTTGACCACATAAAGCCGGGCGGTGGTGGCGCACGCCTTTAATCCCAGCACTCGGGAGGCAGAGCCAGGTGGATCTCTGTGAGTTCGAGGCCAGCCTGGGCTACCAAGTGAGTCTCAGGCAAGGCGCAAAGCTACACAGAGAAACCCTGTCTCGAAAAACAAAAACAAACAAACAAACAAAAAAAAACCTTTGACCTCATAAAGATGGACTTGAAGGGTTTCCTGGACCTTTGTCACTCTTCCTAATGTGGCCATATTGAATAAATCCCCCCTTTCTGCTTTCCACAGGCTCTTTAATTAATCAGCTGGCTTATTGAGGACGGGTGACTGGTCCTGACTTGGGGAACGGGTTGTGATCCCCAAGTTCACAGAACTTATTCCTGTGTTTCGGTATCTGTTACCAACCTTTCTTGTAAAAGCTATGTAATTAGAGTTAATGCTGGGAATGCAGGCCGAGGGAGACACTATGGCAGGATCAAAACTCTATCTTAGCCAGAACTTGACTTTGGCTGTGGCCACGTCTGGGTCCTAGCTTTTCTGCCGAGGGTGGTGAAGGGCGAGGACGGAAACAGAGGTGGGGCCTCTGGTCCGAGAGCCAGGGCGGCCCTCTTTCTTCCGTGCCTTCCTTTCCGGGGCTGCCCACCGCGGTGCCCGCGACTTCTGCGCTATGTTTGGCAGCTGAAGTAGGTGGACGTTAGTTAACTGAATACTTTTGCGAATCATCACAGCTGCAAAGCGCTGGAAACCCTCCCGGCTCTCCTTTCTACGCCTCTACGCCCGCGCCTCTAACATCTCCCCGCCTCCGACAACGTCCCTACAGTTTGGACTACATCTCCCGTGATGCCTTGCGACCCAGAGGCTCTTCCATCGCCGCGGCCCCTCGACCCGGCAGTCTCCGCGGTGAGCAGGGGCGTGGCGCCCTCGATAGGCGGGGCATGACTGGGGGGGCGGGGCGGGGCGGCGGCCGCCTGCCTGGGCCTGGCCGCGGCCTAGGCGATGCCGCTGCTGGTGAACGGACGGCGAGTGCGGCTGCCGCTGTCGGCTGCGGAGCTGGTCCGAGCGTACCCGCCGCTGGAGGTGAGCGGGCTGCCCCGGCCTGCGGGCGGCTGGGCTCTCCGCAGCTTCCACTGGGGATCGGCAGAGACGGGGCCCAGAGAGGTTAGGTGACTTACAGAAGGTCGCACAGCACGCAGCGCGACACTCGGCAGGCTCTACAGGTTGAGCGGCTGCCCGCATTACACAGTCCGGCTGCGGACAGGTGCCGGTGCGGGGTGGGGGTGGGGGTGAGCAGTCCTCCCATTCCCCCCCCTGCGGCGTGGGGCTCCTGGTTATTTTTAGCCAGAAGTAAGGGCTTCGCTTGGAAGTTCCTGGGTCCGGGAGGACCGCGCCCCGATGGATGGATGGGCTTTAGTCTTCTTTCCTTGCGGGCACTTGTGAAAGGTCCCGTGGTGAAGGCGGTGGTGACCGGAAGCCCCCCATGCTAGTCTGGAGTCTGCCCACCCACGGATCTCACATGGAGTCTAGGGGCCTGTTTCCCAATCAGAGCCTCTTTGAAGACTCGGTTATCGCCGAAAGATGTCCACTTTCACTCTCAGAGGTGAAGCCTGGGAGCCTGGAGTTAGGGAAGACATTCTAGAAGATTCCTCGGAGCAGCTGTGGGGTTGTGTCCTGTCTGCTTACTTGCTCTGTTTTCCCTTGGATCTGTCTCCTGGAGCAAACGCTTCCTGAAGGCAGATGGCAGTGTGCTTACAAAATATTTGTTGGGAAATGAATGGGCAGAATGACCCTTGAGAACTGTGGGGCAAGGAGACTGTGACTCTTACCTTGAATTTCAAGACAGACTGATCCCGCAGATCGGGCCAGGCTCCGCCAGGGTCGGTGAAGCCAGGAGTGATACTCATCAAAGACGTTTCACCCACCTCAAGGATTGTGGGGACTCTCTCCTGTGTCTGTCCGAAAACTTGTAGTTTTAGTGGCCACGACGCACATTGCACGGGAAGGCGGGGATGAGTGGGGTGATGTGGGGCGGTGCCTCTGGGAGCGAGGGTTTTGGTCTGTTTAGGGAGACAGCCCAGAAGGGCTGGCTGCACGGTGGAGAGGTGCCTGAGGAGAGAGGGCCATGGAGGAGGCTGGAGTGTGGACTGCATCCCCAGTGCTAGGGAAAGCTGTTCACTTTTCCTTAGGATAACGTGCTCTGTAGAGGAAGTAGAAAATCGTGTCCTTGGTCAGCCATTCTTCTCGTGGTTTTGGTGACTCCTCACAAGTGTTTTTGTTGTTTTTGGGACAGAATCTCTCTACATACCCCTGGCTGTCCTGGAACTTGATATGTAGACCAGGCTGACCACAAACTCAGAGCTCCTGCTTCTGTCTCCCCAGCTTTATTTATTTGCTAGGTGATCCACTGTTTAAAAAGATTTGAGACAGGGTCTTACTGTGTAGCCCTGGCTAGCCTGGAACTCACTGTGTAGGCCTGCCTCAGGCTCACAGAGATCTTTCCCCTGCCTCCCAAATGCTGGCATTAAAGGTGTGCACACCACACCTGATTTTTTATTAATCGGTGTACACTCTGTGTATTTGTCTGTGTGAATGTATGTGCACATAGGTGTGGGTGCACGTGTATACACAGGGAGGCCAGAAAGGGGCATCCAGTGTCTCCCTCTCCATTCAGTGCAGGCAGGGTCTCTCCCTCTATATGCTGCCAGTGGTTCTCTTGTCTCCCCACTTCAGAGTTAGGGTTACAGGCATGTGTGGGAATCCTGGCTTGTGAGTGTTGGTAGATTTCTCAGCAAACAGTTTTAACTACTGACCATCTCTGTAGCATCTTGTCTCCTCCTACCTGCCCCCCCCCCTTTTTTTTTCTTTTGAGAAAGAGAGACAGAGACAGACAGACAGGCTGGCCTAGAACTTGAATGGCCTTGGATGCCTGAGACCTCCTGCTTCGGCAATACTGTGATTAGAGATGTTATCCAATATGCCCATCACGATATACTTTTTGAATGACAGGTATTATATATTAAATATGCCCATCATGATACACTTTTTGAATGACAGATATTATATATTGGATTTTTTTTCCCCCTTGGTCTTTCGATACAGGGTTTCTCTGTGTAGCCCTGGCTGTCTTGGAACTCAGGTTTGTAGACCAGGCCTTGAAAACAGAGACCTCCCAAGTGTTGGGATTAAAGGCCTGGCTCCCCTGTGTGTATTTCCTGTGTCAGTATTTTGTGAGTGCACATCACCGTCACGTAACAAGCCTGATTAGTGTCTTCCCCGAACCCCATCCTTTCTGCAGTTACTTGCTTGGGCAACCACAGTCTGAACATTTTAAGTGGAAAATTCCAGAACTCTCACTGATACTGTCCCCTCCCACCCCCTGCTTTCTATTTTGAAAGAAGGTCTCACTGTAGCTCAGGCTGATCACCAACTCATGATCTTTGCAGCCTCCCAGGCTGGGATCACAGGCATGTGCCACCATGCTGGCTAAGAAACACCCGTCATTATAGCTGTTACTCGGGCAATCCCATACTGTGACTGTTAACCTGCTTCCCCATGTTTACTCACCAGCATGTCTGGCCAGCCACAGTGGAACTGGCCCCACACTGTGCTTGACAAGATGAATACTTTTGCTCTTATTTTCTAGACTGAGGGCCGTGAGGATCAGACACACGGTGGTGCTTTGAGTGAGAACGGCCCCCATAGGTTCACAGGTTTGATGCTTGGTCTCTAGTTAGTAGAACTTAGATGTGTCCTTATTGGAGGAGGTGTGTCACTGGGGGTGAGCATTGAGGTTTCAAAACCCCAGGCCAGACCCAGTCTCTCTCTCTCTCTCTGCCTGATCAGGATGTAAAGCTCTCAGCTACTGCTCCAGCACCATGCCTGTCTGCTTCCCTCCATGGACTAACCCTCTAAAATTGTAAGCAAGGCCTCAATTAAATGCTTTTTTTAAAAAATAAGAGTTGCATCGGCACAGTGTCTCTCGACAGCAGTAGACCAGTGGACTGTACCCTGCTGTCTGCCCTCACTTTGGATGTTGTGTAATAACTCAGTACAGCAGCCATTGAGACATGGGGCGCCCCTGTAGGTGCTGGCGGTCAGGAGGCTGAGGCAGGAGGACATCTGGGGACTTGAAGCAGTCTTGGTACATAGTGTGTTCCGTGGTAGACAATAGTGAGGAACAAGGTTACTGGAGTCAGTGATCTCGAGTGCTGGTGCACTGCTCTTCAGTGTCTGATGGGTTCAGATTTTTCTGTGCTGTGCGGGGTGCAACCCAGGATGTCCCACTGCACTCCTGCTGCTGAGCCATACCCAGACTTCCTGCTAGTGGTTTGGAACACACCCCATGCTTCACAGTGCAGCAGGCACTTTCTCACTCATGTGCCCTTGGAGGAGAAAGGTGAACTGGAGGAGAAGGGTGAGGGGTGTGGGCTGGTCCCTAAAGTTGCAGATATGTATTTTCCTTTTCTCCCTGGCCCTATGCAGGGACAGAGCCCAGGGCTTCACACATGCTAGACAAGTGCCTGCTTCTGAGATACCTCTAGCCCTTGGCTTAGGTGGTTAGAAAAAGTAAAAGGAATAATAATATTTTATCGCAGTAAATCACATGAATTCAAACTTGCATATCACCTATCACATTTTATTACAACACAGCCATATCCATGTGCTCCTCTGGCTGTTTTTACTACACAGTGGCAGAGACCTTTAGGCTTGTCATCTAGTCATTCTGAGAGAAAAGTCTGCTGACTTCCAGCAGAGAAAGCAATGCCATTCAGTAGGTCTTGGGAAAGGCAGTTAAAGGATGAGTGCACATGAATTAAATGCTGGGAAATGGAGACACTGTGACAACTGGGCCACTATCACTTTAGGAATATGGGATGGGGAGCTTGGCTTAGTGGACCACACACCTGCTGGGGAGGCACAGGGACCTGGGCATGGAGCCTAGGACCCACATAAAAGGCTGTAGGGTGCTTATGTAATCCCAGTGCTGAGGGGCGGAGCACTGTGGATCCCAGGTGCTGGGTGGCCAGCCAGTCCAGCCAAAATAGTGAGCTCCAGTTCAGTGAGAGATCCTGTCTCAAAGGCAGGGCCGTCGAGATGGCTATATGGTAAAGGTGCTTGCTGCCAAGCTTGATGACCTGAGTTCAGTCTCTGTAACATACATGGTGGAGGAGAAAACTACTAAGGGTTGCCATCTGGCCTCCACATGTAGGCCATGTGTGTGGCACCACACACATGCATATATATATATGTGTGTAAATATATATATATATATATGTGTGTGTGTATATATATATATATATATTCGTTCGTGCATGCATACACACACACACACACACACACACACACACAGGACAAAAAATGAAATTAAAAACAAGGTACAGAGTAACAGGAATTCATATGACATTGACCTCTGGCTTCCAGGTGTACATACATGCACCTCACACACACACCTTTCTCACTCCATGCACACTTCACACTCATGCACTACATGGTGTCTGTATCTCTGTTTCTCTCATGTACACAAATGTGATGAAGTGAGGCTTCATTTAAGAACAGCTTTTACCAAGCGGGAGAGCAGGCTAGCCACTGTCCTGTGCTGTGGCGTTTCTGGTTGCCTTTGCTTTCGTTTCTTGTGTTAGTTTTGAAATGGTAACTTGATCTCACACACGACTTGCTCATTAGTGGTGAGCCAATTATGAACTTGGTAAAATTCTGCCTTAATTCCTCCCCAAGGGAGGTCAGTAAAGGGATTGTAAAGAGGGGGCAAGTGTCTGGTATCCCACCTGACTGGGGTGTGATGAAATACACGATTGGAGATGTTCTTGATTTATTCCAGGTTGTATAGTCAGTCTGAACTTACAAGGTTTACAGCAGTTTGATTTGTTATCTTTTTCTTTCCTGTGTCCCATTCCAATCTTGCAGGAGATTGAATTCTGAACCCATAACCTCCTAGTTCAGTTCTTAAATTGAAGGGCATATCCTCTTTTAATTATCTCCTAGCATTCAGACAGTGGGAATTCATTAAAGGAAGATAGTGCTTAACATGTCTTGGATTTTATTAAGTAATTAGACACAAACTTACATTAGCCAGGCATGAGAAATGGTAAGAAGTTGGTGTAAGACCAAAGCAGGTGTAGGGACATTGACACATGACCATGCTTGCTGACTGGGGATTTGTGGCAAGTTGGAAGGAAGGTCGAGTTCATTTTAATAGTGTGTCAGCTCCCCCATGTGAGTCTGCATGCCCAGGCTGGGATTGTAAGCATGTAAGCATTTCCTTCCATGCCCAGCCAGTTTTGCCTTTGAGACAGCCTCCCTCTAATACACACCTGTAATCGCAGCACTCAGGAGGTAGAGTGGATGGTTTTAGGACAACCTGAACTACTTTGTCTCAAAATAAGGTCAAGTCTCAGACTCTTGAAGAACTATGATGTCTCTTTTCTGGTTATAGGGATCTTGTGTCATATGTAGCTCTCCTAGTTAGAGAGAATGTTCCTGACATCTTTCTTCATCAACCTTCAGTAGCCAGTGTAGCACAGTTCAGACATGCCAGCCTGCTTCCTACTTCTGAGTACACATTGGCTCTTCCCACCTCTCCAGTTCAAGCCTCACTAATTCATACAACTATTTTATTCTGTTTCAATTAAACAGGAAAGAGCCAGACTTCTCAGAGGTCAGTCTGTTCAACAAGTGGGACCCCAGGGCCTTCTGTATGTTCAGCAAAGAGAGCTTGCAGTGACCTCCCCAAAGGATGGTAGGTTAGGAAGCAGTGTGTTGGGCCTTATCCCAAAGCCTACTGGCTATTTTATGTTATTTCCTTTTCAAACAGGCTCCATCTCCATTCTGGGTTCTGATGATGCCACTACTTGTCACATTGTGGTCCTGAGGCATACAGGTATGATGACAGAGATGAAGGAAACCATTTGTTAAACTATCCCAACCATGTGGGACCACTGATTTTCTCAGTTTGAGTTTCCTGGTGTAGAATATGAAGCCATGTCTTATCTGCATGATGTCTCCCTGGTGCCCTGGTCAGATGGGTTGGCTGTGCAGCATGGAGCCTTTCAGTTTTCTTACAGGGTGTCTACATGGCTTGCTTCCCGAAATATAAGGACTAACTCATTTTACCCTTGTTACCATTATCCAGGTAATGGGGCAACCTGCCTCACACATTGTGATGGAACTGATACCAAAGCTGAAGTCCCCTTGATAATGAGCTCCATAAAATCCTTTTCTGACCACACTCAGTGTGGAAGGTAAGTTCCATGCTGCTATTATATGGACACTGTGGGGGATGCCCTCTACTTGTACACCTTGAGCATGGGTGGTGTCCACACTTGGATGGATGGGGTGATGGAAGGTCAAGCCAGCACTGGACTTTTTGTTGGACAGGGCCTCACTATGTAGTCTTGCCTCTGATCCCCTAGTGCTCTGATGAGGGGACGAGACTTGTCAGGCTTCTGTGCTGAATTTTAAATTGAGTTTGATTTTGAGCTTGTGTAAAGTTGGGAACTTTGAATCTCAGATATTAATTTGTTATGGCCCAGACAGAAGGTGTTTTTGTGAGCAGCCACTTGTTCTAGGGTCTAGAGTAGGCAGTCCTCATACTCTGAAGCAGGCAGGTCAGGAATTATGTAGGAAAGACTGAAGGAGGAGGCAGGGTCAGCAGTGACCATGTCACACAACTCAGCAAGCTGAGTTTGAGCATGGGTGTACAGTAAGAACCAACCCAGACTGGCTGTGGCTCAGCATTTCATCCTTACCGTGACACATGATCGTATGTCAGAGCCACATAGCTAGTTATGTTCTGGCCTGTGACCCAGGCCTGGCTGTCACTTGCTTACATGCCTGGCCTTGTATTACACTTGGCTCTTATTTTCTTGGTAGCCTTTGAAGGAAGTAGTACAGCCATATCCAGGTGCTTAGAATCTCAGGGACACTACTGGTCAACTTTATTTGTGCCTCAAAGCCAAGATCCTTTTAGGTGGAGATGCTGAAAAGTTCTAGAGTATTCTGTGTGGGTGGCCAGGTGACACTGCACTGAGAACCTTGGATGAGGTCTTGATGGCCTTGCTGCTGGCCTTGGCAACCTCACATGCACCCCATTGTGCCCACAGGTATTTTCATTATATGCTGTGGAAAAGGTCCAGAAGCATGCTGTGGAAGTTCATGGGAGCCAGGAACTAAATATCTGTGAAACCAGCATACAGTCATGTCTTTTCCTAACTCTGATCATGTCCCTCTCTCGGCAGGCTGGAAGTGCACCTTGTAGGAGGCTTCAGTGATGATAGGCAGTTGTCACAGAAACTTACTCATCAGCTTCTTAGTAAGTTTGCCACCCGCCCTCCCGGCAATATTATACCTAGTTTTGTTTGGTTTAAAAAACAACAAAAAGGAGCCAGGCAGTGGTGGTGGTGCCTTTAATTAGGTGCATGCCTTTAATTCCAATGCTCAGGAGGCAGAGGCAGGCGGATCTCCAAGTTTGAGGCTAGCCTAGTCTATGGAGTGAGTTCCAGGACAGCCGAGGCTACACAGAGAAACCCTATCTCAAAAAACAAAACAAAACAAAACAAAAAAAAACCCACCAAAAATAAACAAACAAACAAATACATAAAGCTCTCTAGCAGTCAGATGAGGCAGAGGCAGAAGGACCATGAGTCTGAGACCAGCTTGGGATACATGTGAAAATCTGTCTCAAAACAAAACAAACCTGGGGTTGAAGACATAGGCCATATGGATGGAACTATACAGACTGTACAGAAAGTGCAGCACTAAATTCCCAGGTGCAGGTGGGATGGGGACAAGGCCTCCCCATTTTGACAGGGCCATTTTTGGTGGTGAAGCCCCAGCTGGCTGTGGCCTCGTGATCATTGTGCCCTCAGCTGAGTGAAAGAATTACAAGCCTGTGTCAGATGCTCTTTTAAAACAGCAGACGGTAAATTCTTGGAGAGTACATACTCTGAGCTGTATAGCTGTACAGGAGCACTCTTTGTAATCTTCAGAAAATGAAAATGGTCTTTTAGCCCTTTCTTCTAAATCAGGAAAGACAGACATGGTGTGCATTAATTGTGAAATAGGTGTACGCTAATGCCATACCTGCACTGGAGCAGCCTGCCAGCTAGGACACTGGCACTGTGGCTTAAGCCTTTTAAAGGTTCACATCCTTTGACTCAGTAATTCCCCTTCTTGGAATCCATTCTAAGAAAGTCATCTAAGGTCGCACAGAGAGGCTGACAAGATGGCTCACTGGGTAAAGGCACTTCCCACCAAGCCTGAACAAGTTTGGTCTTTGGGACTCACAAGATGGAAGCAGAAATATGACTCTTGTAAGTTGTCCTCTGATCTCCCCCATGTGCTTCACGGCAATACATGCACATGCACACACAGTAAGAAAATGTAAAAAATCAAATCCTCCAACAGAGATTTCGACCTAAAGATGAGCAATCCAGCAGTTCTGACAACATGGAATATCCAGTGTCCTGAGAAGAGTTACAAAACTTCTAGAAGGTGTTACCTACTGAACCAGGTCTGGAGGTCCATGCTTGCAGCTCAACAGTTGGAAAGAGACTGAAGCAGAGGGTTGCTTGTTCCTAACCAGCCTGAGCTACACAGTGACGCCAACAAAAAATTCATAACAAAAAAACCACTTGTGAAAGTTCAGTGTGGTAGAATATACCTTTAATTCCAGCACTTCAGGAGGCTGGGGCAGGTAGATCTGAGTTCAGGGCAGCCTGGTGAGACTGTGTCTCAAACAGACTTTACTAAGAAGTGTTAACTGCATGGGTAAAACCTATGTCTACAAAACAATCAGGGCAAAAGTTACGTGGTGTTACTGGAGCATGGCTGTCTCTGTTAGGAGCTCAGCCGTGTACAGAAACTAAAAGCTACAATGGGGTGACAGGCATTCAGAACCTACTCTCTTCTGTTCCCTTGTCCAAAAACATTCACAAAATTTTTGCTCTGGTGGCTGGGCTCAGTGGTTAAGAGCACTGGCTGCTCTTGCAGAGGACCCAGGTTCAATTCCCAGCACTTACATTACCACAACTCTCCTGTAACACCAGTTCCAGGGGATCCTGTAACAACCATTCCTATGGCACACATACAATGCAGCCAAAACATCTATACACACAAAGAAATATTTTTGCCTTAATAGACTTGAGAAGAGCTGGTCTTCTCTTAGGACTCCACCTGATGTGGGTGCTGGGACCTGAACACACGTCCTCTGCAAGAGCAGATAAATGCTTTTAACCACTGAGTCATTTCTCAACCCCCTGAGGCTTTTCCCTATTAGCCTGTATTAATTACATATAACAGATTTCATCTTATTTTTCATTTAGTGCATGTAGACACTTAGGGCACATGTACACCATATAGCTTGAGTATGTTAGTCAGGACAACTTGTGGGAGTGGGTTTTCTCCTTCCACATGTGGGTCCCAGGGATTGAACACAGGTTCCAAGTACCTCTACAGATGAGTCTTCTTGCTGGCATAACCTATACCCTCAACTCTCCCCCTCCACCACTACCCTTTTTTTTTTTTTTTTTTTTTTGGAGACAGGATCTCATGTAGCACAGACGGGCTTTGACCTTGAATGTGCCACCAGGCCTGTTTCTGTAGTGCTAAGGCTTGAACCCATAGCCTGGAGCATGCTAGAGCATGCTAGGCAATTACAGTATCAGCTGAACTATAGCCCCAGCCCCAAGAGGACATTTTTATGCATATATGTAATGTATTTTGATCAAATTCACAGAGCCCTGTTACTCATTCTTGGGTACTTTTTTGACATCAATCTTGAAATTCTAATTGTAGGTGAATTTGACAAACAAGATGATGAGATTCACTTAGTGACATTATGTGTGACAGGTGAGTCTGCTGCTTTCACCCAAACAGGGGTATAAGGGTTCAGGAAAGTTTTGTCTGTACCCTTACAACAGCTACCATTAGGATAGGAATTGTAGAAGACAGTCCACAGAGACTGTCACCTCTGGATGACTTGTCCCCACTGCTCCTTATCTCTAGGTAGCCTTCTCAACACCAGGTCCTAGCCAACTAATGCTGCTTCTCCAAAGGCCCTGATGTCAGAGGCTTCTCTGTGTTCCTGGGAGGGGAGAGCACTGGTGAGCTGCCCTTGTGTGGCAGAGGCAGGGTTAGGCCTGTTAGTGGCCCACCTGGGGCTTTGTATTGAGTTTTTCCTTCACATGGAATAAGAACAACTGTTTATCAGTTCTACTTTCCTTCATTTCTTAGAATTAAATGACCGGGAAGAAAATGAAAACCACTTTCCAATCATTTATGGCATTGGTAAGTAGTATTTGTATTAGAGGGTTTCATGGTTCCCATGTGCGTTAGAGCAGGCTGACTCAGGTTAAAGGTCTGAGCGTGCAGTCATTCCATCTGTACTACTGTTGTTGGGTTTGGATCCTTGCTCCTATACATTTACTGTTAAACCCTGGCAGGGCCTGACCTGACTAGCCTCTAGCTGTGAGGTTGTTAATGTCCTAACAATAACGTGTGGAGAGAAAGTCAGTGTACCACATAGGTTATGCCCACCTCACCTGTGCAGCTTATTGTCACATGGGTGGGTGGTCTGGCATGTTTCTCTCTAGCCAGTGCTCATGGGGAAGGCATGAGGCATTTGGATCTCTGTATACTATGGGAATGAAGTAAAGTTTTGATTTAGAATGAAGATCCCACAAAACCAAGTTCAGAGCTGTCAAACTAAAGGAAGCCAAGGCCCTTCCTCTCCAGTCCTGAGGCTAGCAAATTGTAGAGGGCTTCTGGTGTGTGTTCATGATGGTTAGGTAGGTGGGTAATAAAAGACTGGCACATCTTATTTTATTCTGTGTCACTTTGCATAGCCCTAAATAGGGCACGGCTTTCCACCAGTGTTTGTGGTCGTAGCAAAGCGTTGACTACACAGCCCTGAGGGCAGAGTGCCTCAGGGGCTGTTCCCTCTGCTGCTACAGAGGCACCTCAGTTGTCTCTTGAGGAACAGTGGAAATGGTGAAGTCTGTTTTGGATTTCTGCCGATTTAGAGTCACTCCCTGTCTATTGCAGCTGTCAACATTAAAACTGCAGAGATTTACAGAGCTTCCTTTCACGATCGTGGTCCAGAGGAACAGCTTCGTGCTGCAAGAGCCTTAGCTGGAGGCCCGGTGAGTAGGAGCCTGTCTTTGTGGGGTGAGCTGAGGGGGACCCTAAGAGCCTCAAGTTTTTAGAGTGGAGGAACGTTGTGGCTACCTCCTTACCAGGAACCAGCTCCCTTCCTTATGGGTTAGAGGAATAAAGAGTGAGTTTAGTTTCTAAGTGCCAGATACTAGTTCTCTGCCTGAAAGATGGAGGCGATGGTAAGAGCCTGGATCTATGGACAAAGGGGGACCTCTCCCCATTAACCTTCCGTAGTGAGGACTGGAGAGAGGGGGAGTGACAAGATCCTGCACCGTCCACACTTTGGATCCAGTCACCAAAAAGTAGTTTGGTCAGTCACTCCAAAAAAATTACTGAATAGGTCAGTTTAAAAGTTTAATTTTCAGCTGGGCGTCGGTGGCGCCTGCCTTTAATCCCAGCACTCGGGAGGCAGAGCCAGGCGGATCTCTGTGAGTTCAAGGCCAGCCTGGGCTACAGAGTAAGTTCCAGGAAAGGCGCAAAGCTACACAGAGAAACCCTGTCTTGAAAAAACAAAAAACAAAAAAAAAAACAAAAATCCCCAAAGTTTAATTTTCTAGCTGGGCAGTGATGGCACACATCTTTAATCCCAGCACTTGGGAGGCAGAGGCAAGCAGATCTCTGTGAGTTCAAGGCCAGCCTGGTCTACAAACCTCCCTCCCAGTACTGTATTTTGCCTTATTTTTTTGGTAGTGCTGTATTTTTCCTTATTTTTTGGTAGTGCTGTGGATGGAATAGAGGCATTTGCTAGGAAAATGAGCACTCCTAGCCTAGGCCCTTTTTATTTTCAGGCAGGACCTTGTTATGTAACCTAGCCTCAACATTTCCCAGGGCGGGATTGCACAGGTATACAACTGTGTTCTAGTCTCTATATTTTTTAATTAATTAAATCATTAATTTAAAAGAAGACTTCATTCATCCCATTTGAGGAACAAGTAGAATGTAAAATGCCCAGTGTAAGCCTGGCACGATGGCACACATTTTTAATCCAAGTACTTGGGAGACAGGTGGAATGCTGTGAGGTACAGGTCAGCCTGGGCTTATGCAGCTTTTTAATGATGCCAAACAGGCTCTAGGGAGATGGCTTGCTATATAAGCATGATCCACAGCACCGACATGAGAAGCTGGGCATGCTGGGCATGCTTTCCAGGCCCAGTACTGGGGAGACAGAGGCTGACTCTTAAGAGTTTGCTGAGACTGGAGCTTCAGCTTTAGTGGAAGACTCTGTCTCAGGTAACAAAAGCAACTGAAGACATGGGGCATGGCTCTCCGGCCTCACACCCCACACTGCAGCAAGCCCAGAAATCCGCTTTGTTTGTGCAACACTAACATTGCAGTAAGAAGACATCTGGAGTTAAGAGATCTGTTCTGCCAGTCTTTTACCATTTTCAGGAGTCCTAATTTTGTCTTTTAAAAAATTTTGTGTTTGATATGGTCTTGCTATGTATGTAGCCTAAGGTGTCTTAGAACTTGTGGGAAGCATCCTATATCAATGTCCATCAACTACCATGATCAGTTTGGTGGTTTTTTCTTTTTCTTTTTTGAGACAGAGGGTCACATTGCAGCCCAGGCTGGCCTGGAACTTACTTTAGGATTCCTTTTGTTGTTTAGTTAATAGACTATATTTCAGACTGAGTACCCCCTCAGAGCTGAAAATTACCACTGACATAATTTGGGAATTCAAGGAGTCGTCTGTTGGCAAATCAGCTCTACATAGCCAGTTGTGGTGGTGCACACATCCCTGTGACCCCAGACTTGGATGTGTGGCAGGAAGATGAGGATTTCAAACACTCTTGACTGTGTTCAAGGCCAGCCCAGGCTACATGAGACCTTCTCAAAAATAAAACCAGGTGAGATGTGGTGCTATACACTTTTAAAGCAGGCAGATCCCTAAGAGCTTGAGGCCAGCCAGGTCTACCACAGCCAGACCCTGTCTCAAAAACAAACAAACAAAACTAAAAAACTCCTAACCTTTCTTTTATGCTTTTTATGAGACAAGGTCTCATTGTCATGCAGGCTGTCCTGGAACCCAAGGTGATCTTCCTACCTCAGCCTCCTGGGTGTTGGATGGCAGGTGTGAGCTGTCCTAACTGGGCATCGGGCATTATGAGCTGTTTATGCTGCTTAGGGTAGGAGTGAGGAGGTGTGGTATTTGTGCAACCATGAGGGGTACAGGCTTTAGTCAGAACCGCTTGTCTTTGAGGCACTACTGATGCTCACTGGATACGTGACCTGGGACTTTTCTCACTGTCAGCTTCCCCTGAGAAGGGCAGCATGCTGTCTTCTTGTAGGCTTGCCATCAAAACTAAACACAGCAATACACAGGACCAAACACAGGAAAGGCATTTGGTGGTGGCAGCTTTGTTATTATGGGAGGTTCGCAGTTTATTGGCTAATGGAATAGCCTTGGAACTAGATCACAGCAGTGGTAGGGCAGTGTCCTTACAGCCTGTCATGGAAATGGTTCTTTTAGATGATTAGCATTTATGATGCAAAGACAGAACAACTTCGAATAGGCCCGTATTCCTGGACGCCATTTCCACATGTGGATTTCTGGTTGCAGCAAGATGACAAGCAAATACTAGAGGTGAGAATTTACAGGTTGGCTAAATCTTAAATCTCTGGACCCTGGTTTCCCCATCTGTAAGAAAAAAAAAGGTTTAGACCAGCTAACAGCTGCTTCTCCTTCAGTGGGTGAGATTGACATTCTATTACCATTGGCAGACTAACTTTTATGGCAGTGGGGGATTAGTAACTTCCTGGTGGATGTTTATACAGGTGAAGCAGTAAGTAGTGAAATGTGTGTAACAGATGTACAGAGGCGCTGACACTGAGACGAGCCCAGTGAATGTGTATGTGGCCCAAAGCTACTCTGACATTGTCATCTAAGCCAGGAAGGTGTACAGCCTGGCCCTGCTCATGCCCACTGTCTTGTCTTTTCAGAACCTTTCTACTTCTCCTCTGGCTGAGCCCCCCCACTTTGTTGAACATATTAGATCTACCTTGATGTTTTTAAAAAAATTCCCATCTCCAGCAAATATACTGTTTCCTGGAAATAAAGCTCTTCTCTACAAAAAAAATGAAGATGGCTTATGGGAAAAGATCTCTCCAGGGAGCTAACATCCAAGTTACCAAAGAACACAGCTCTTTGGCCTGATAGAGACCATTGGTGGTTTGGAATCTACAACTGTGCAGTTTGACTTCTTCCTTGCTTACTATCTTTCAAAATAAAATCTTATTTTGGCAAAGGCATTTGTTTAGATGATTTTTTGCTCCACTACAAAGAATTTTCACCAGTCATGAGGGACGGAGGAGAAACCACTGGCCTTGCTGGTGAGTAGGCAGTAACTTTAGAGACAGGTTGGTCAGGAAAAACTCTCTGTTCAAAAATTACTCTTAGAAACTTCTTATCAGAGGCTGAGGTGGTACACGCCTTTAATCACAGCACTTGGAGGCAGAGGCAGGCAGATCTCTGACTTCAAGGCTAGCCTGGTCTACAGAGTGAATTCCAGAACACCCAGGGCTACATAGAGAAACCTTGATTCGAAAAACAAACAAACAAACAAACAAACAGAAAAGAAACTTCCTATCTGTTTGGAAAGAAACAGTTGAGTTTATTACCGTCTTCGGAAACAAGCTCCTGGGAGGCCAAATTCAATACATACGATGCTACTAAGATGTTTAGGATTATGGAAGTTATTTTTTTAAGAACGTTTATGTTATCTGATGAAAAGTAAGATTTATATCAAGTTCACAGGTAGCAATTTCAAGAGCCTTTATTTAAGCCAACATCAGATAGTGTCTCAAGGTAAAATTCGGTTGCAGCAAAACCAGGTAACAATTCCAAATGTATAAAAACATTGAAAAATCAATCAGTTCAAGGTGATAATTTACCCCTCCCCACGTCACCTGCTATACTTCATTGCATCAAATGAACAGGGAAGACTATTTAATCATTTGCACCAAAAAAATGGAAAGATTGCATCTTGACAAGTGGCAACTGTCAAAAATCGCATCAAATCAGTGTAATTATAGGCTTAAAGTGGTATAACTAAGGCTTCCAACACTACAGTCCACAGGCCCACCATCTCAGCATCTTCCATTGTTTGACTTTTAGGGACTAAAAAGGCACGGGGTGGGGCATCTTAGGGCACTGCAGGTGATGCAGTACTTGGGAAATACACATGGATGAGAATTAGGCAGCAAGCTCTGGCTGGTTAGCCCGAAAGAGGCAACTTCTCTGGTTCTTTCCTGAGTCGGGCCCAGGGTGAGCACAGGAGAAGCGGCAGCCACCTCATGAAAAGCAGGTCGCAGGCTTGCTTGCTTGCGGCAGCCTTCACTGTGCTGCACAGAAGACGACATGGGCTCTTCATGGCAGCCTGCAGAGGGCTTTCTGTCCTGACCTGACACAAGCACAGGGCACACTGGGCACCAGCTTCAAAGCATTACCAGTGTTTACAAATAGACTTAAATATGGTCAGGAAGAGGTCTTCAGTCAGTTACTGTTAACAAATGAGTTCTTAACTGTTGACAGAGAATGTGTACCCGAGAAAAGGGGCAGCAGGAGACAGTCCTAGTGCCACAGCCCATGTGTACACAGGCGAGGGTTCTGATGCTCTCACTCGGGTCCTACTGAGACCCATTTCCTGATGCCAACCAGTGAGGCAGGCATCTACCACAACTTGACTGAACTACAGACCTAGTAAGACAGAAGCATGGAGGAGAACCCAGAGAATCACAGTATGCAGCCTAATCACGCTTAGGTTCAGAGAGAGGAGAGAGAACAGGGTTTCAAGTGGAAGGTGCTTGAAATCTACATGTTCTCTCAGCACAGAGTGTTTATGGTACAGGAAGAAAGGGTATGCCTAGGTTGGGCAGGCCAAAATAGTCAATTGGTGGTTGCTCAACTTACACATAAAATAATTGTCCCCCACCCCCAGAAAGCCTGGTTTTCCACCATTATCTGTGCAAAACTCCCAGTTTAGCACAAATGGCAGAAATTTCTATCATATTATAGCATGTGGCACAGTTCACATTTTCAATAAAACTTCATCTTTCCTGAAACAAGAGTCAATGAAGGTTCAAGCCCAGTATTACTGAGCTTTATCTTAAGCGCTCCAGTCCCTCTACCTGAGGGCGGTCATCTTCCGGATGCTGGGCCTTGTTCTGCAGGGCCTCAGCCTGCCTGGCCATGGGGGCAGGAACACTTGGGGCCTGCTCAGGGCAGTGGGTCTCTGGGTTGCTGTGCTCAAGCCCACTGGACAGCTGTTCCACCTTTTCGAGGTCTTCAATGTGGCTGACTGAGCTGGTCTCACTCACAGCATCCGAGCCTCTGAGGGACCTTTTAAAAGGTTTCTGGCCTAGAGAGACAAGATGAACTATGCTGAGACTGGTGAGGACAAAGGTGCCGTGGTCCTGCATGGTCATTGAGTAGGCAGGAATGCTGGAATTCTGGCTTGCATCTTAGAGGTGAAGCGGGAACTAAAGAGCATTGTGGCACTGTACTGCTCCCCAGGCCAGTGCTTCTGTGGTGCCCCTAACGGGAGGGAAGTGCCTTGGGTAAAGCAATGCTTGCCTTAGGAGTGCCATGGAGGCATTTCTTTGGAGCTAAATCTCAGGTGCCTGAATGGTTGTTTCAGTGAAGGGAATGGAATTTTGGATTAAAGAAAGGAACATAAGGAACAACAAATAGAACTGGTTTTCTTCTGTTAATGAAGGTGAACTGTGGAGAGGTTTAACCCACCTGGAAGTCGCTGTTTGCTTCGAGTGCCTGAGGGTGTAGGAGGTGGCGTCACTCCCGTACCTTGTACTTTGTAGACATATGTGTGTTCTGTGGACTCCAGAGAACCTGTCAGGAAAAAAAAAGTGGCAGGAGCTCCTGGCACAGCCATCCTGAGATGTCACTTGCCCTCAACTGGCTTTGTGTCTTAATCAGCATAGAGCCACTACTTAGCTTCCCACTGACTGACTGGAGCAAACCTACCCTGCAGTTGCTCACAGCTCTCTACAAGCTCCTCAGCTCCTGGGAATGCTCCATCAGTGTGTGCAGTGTGCCGGGACCCATACCCAGTGCAAAATGCTCTTTAGCAAAGAGCAGATGCTCCTGTTAAAGGCTGAGGTCTGACAGGTAAAATGTTCCTTGTTTGTGGTGTTTTCAAGACAGTCTCATAAAACCCTGATCCTTCAGCTTCAGCCTCCTAGATGCTAGGATGACATCCTTCTGCCACCATACCAGGAAACTCTTGTGATCTTTTGCTATCTTGAGAATCTAGCTATTATTTTCTGGAGAAGGAACAAAGGAAGAAACATCAAGTTTTGAGAGTATTTCTTTGGTAGGACAGGAAAGGAGTCACAGCTGTTAGCATCTCACAGCAAGTTGCCAATAGCTGACTGCCAGTCACTGGTTTAAAATAAATACTGTGTGCTACAATCTTTAGGTTCCCCTTTCAGAAGGAGCCCTGTCCTGCACAAAATACTCAGGACTACTGTGGGAAACAACAGTCCTTATGCCAGTGTCCACACTGCACTGTCCCCAGATGAGGGCCAGTTGGATAGGCATGTCCTTGTTCCAAGGAAGACAATGTGCATGCTGCAGAGTGGCTGCTTGCTTTCTGACTGTTTCAGCAGAGGCTGGGGGAGATGACAGGGCAGTGGGGCGGACTGCCTCACTGCATATTCCTGCAGAGAATCGGGGAGGTAAAAAAGCATGGCGGGTTCTGGGAGGGAAAGGCATCTGGTCAAAACTGGGAAATAACAGATCTAGGCATAGGCCAGTTGGAAGTCCTACCTGCTGTTAAGTTAAAACTTCTTCCCTTTTGTGAAGCTTGGACTGGAGAAAACCAATTCAGCACGGACCCTACTACAGGGATCTGCCGCAACACTCCCTGTAAGACATAATCTTTGTTCAGGACGACCTGCTGAGCCTGCTCTGCTGGGATGCCAGCCTGGCAGACTCCAACAGTCACCTACCTCTTCCAGAAGCCGCTCCTCATTTGCCTTCTGCAGTTGAACCTGAGCCTCCTGAATTCCCTTCCGAACGACTTCTGTCATGTTCTCTAGAAGCTGCAAAACCAAGGAAGATACTGTTTGTCTAAGCGTCTTGCCTAGTGCCTGGAACTTCTTACACAATCACCAGCATTGGTGACATTTCCCACAAGTGTGTCAGTAGATGGAATTCTGCACTGAAATACCTGAGCAAAAGCTAAATAGAAAATTAAACAGAAGAAGATGAAAGCTCATGCAGGCCCAAGCAGATAGAACTTGTTGCCTGGCCTCATTTGCTAAAGGGGAGAAATAACTAGTTCCATTTTGAATGTTTTATCAATGAAAAGCAAGCACTGTTTAATGCTGAGAGAAAGTCAGAATTAACTGCTAAGACTGGGAAAAACCAACAGTGAACACAGCCAGCTCCTTGGTTTTTAAAAACCTCTTCATCCCCCCTACCCTAAAGTGAACTACAGCACATGTGTCTCTGTCTGCTCTCAGGCAAGGATGGGTTGGTCTGACCACTAGCCTTGTAGCCTGGTCTTCCATGCTACCTGACCAACAGAGGAAGGTCTGTTTTTGGTGGCGTGGCCCTTATCAGGAACATCTGTGTTGTTTGTCCTTAGGACCCAGCTCCTTTCAGGAAGTCTCACCTCAGTGCACTGTGGATGTGAGCAAGCCCCTAAGAGCTCAGCTGCCCTAAGCCACAGCATTTGCTGCACAGCTTGGTGTACATGGCTCTTCCCCAACACTGCCTGGTGAGGACACTGGGGGCAGCAACTGTGTCCAGGCCACTTAGCATTCCTCATGCCTGGCGTAAGACCTAGCTCTCAGGAAAGCCACATTTGGCAAAGAATGAAATGAACAGACATTCCCCAGTGTTGTATTGCAAAAGTAAGAAAAGACATGAAATACTAATTCATCTTACAGACCCTTGAGTTTTCCTCAATTTCCCGGGCTGTGACTGCAATGGTCTCTACTAGTTCAGAAATATCCACATCATCACTTGCCAGGCCAATGTAAATGCAGCTCTTCATGCTTTTGTACTCAGGGCCTGGGGAAAGAAACAGGCAAGGCTGGCTCCCAAGTCCTCAGGACAGTGGGAAGCCAGGTCTGTCCTGACTATGAGGAAGATGCCTCTGACAAAGGAAAGGAAGGCTGGAGAGCTGCAGAGGGAGGGAGACCTTACTCTGGGAGACACTTAACCTCCAGTTGGTCCTAAACCAGAGCTCTCCCCTCTGTGGCAATGAAAATCATCTTCCTTAAGC